ATCAGCCGCTGCTTCTGTCCAGCTGCACTGATTCCACACAAGCCTCATGTATGACTCATGCTATCTTTGCATCGCAGTCAGGACGACTTCTACTACAATGGAGGAGGATAATGCAGGAATTTGATTAGATGACAACGGCTGGGAGCACAAAAGGCTTTTAACTGATGACAGAACAAAAGTGTCACTTCAGAATGATGAACCGAGGAGTCAGGAGCTGACGAGGACGTGGAGACGGGGTGTGAGTTTCAAGTGAGGAACTCCGATTAAAAACCTCATTAAGGGAGGAAGTTCGTGTTTGCAGCGTTTCAGGCGTTACACAGTAATCAGTGTTTAAGTGGTTTTAGATAATGTGCAAACCATAAACTCTGTTTTCTTGAACAGCGGTGGAACTTTTTCAGAGGTTTTTAACTAAGGTAGGGTAGTCAGGATCTGAGTTTGTTCCAGTTTTTAGGAGAAATCTTCAATGTAAACTCTACCCCTCCCAACCAGTTTTCCCCTCAGCTCCTCCTCTCCCCTCAAGCCCCGCCCACAAACAGACGCTCCTGCTCACTCGTATCGTTCCAATTAAATTCAGATATAATGCAGATAAATACTTCAGATCATTACAAATGGGGCCCAGTCAAGGTGAAAGTCAAAAGCATTGGTGCTACTGTAGATGCCAACAGACTACCAGCAAACACAATGTTTGCAGGACTTCTACAACGAGGATAAAGTGACATAGTCCAGGACCCGAGGGAGGACAGTTTAGCGATGGCGCTACAACACGCTACAGCAGGTCCGTTTGACAAGAAACACTTCTGTTACAGACACTTGTCTTACTTTGTTAAAGCGGTTTACCTGTCCAGCAGAAAGGTTACAGGGTCACCAAGATCCCCAAGCGTCCCCCATCGTTTATGTTGACCCGGCTTTTTAGCTCTCGTCCGGTCTACCTCCGTTTTAAGCGCCCGTTATTCCTCCAGAGTCTCCGGTATTTACTTTGTTTTCTTGCTTGTGTCGGCAGTCGTGGCCAAAGGAGGATTCAGACAATTTTCCGAACTTTCTGGTTGGTTTCTACTGTCCGATATTGTAGCACGCTAACTTTGTTTGGGCTCCTGAACGACACGGGGGAGCAGCGTCTGCCTCACAACCAATCAGGTACACAGACATAAGAGAACACAGAGATATCGTTATGTTACCAAATGTCATCAATAACTAATAGATATTGTTTATACACCATGAAAAAAGAAGCTTCTTTAACGGATTCCTGCCTACTCTACCTTTAAGTTTAATGTAAAAAAATCAAAATTGAAAAGCTGACTTTGCGCTCTCTCTCTCTCTCTCTCTCTCTCTCTCTCTCTCTCTCTCTCTCTCTCTCTCTCTCTCTCTCTCTCTCTCTCTCTCTCTCTCTCTCTCTCTCTCTCTCTCTCTCTCTCTCTCTCTCTCTCTCTCTCTCTCTCTCTCTCTCTCTCTCTCTCTCTCCTCCACCAGACTAAACACTCTGACTAATTCTGAGCTATTATTAAGCTCACTGAGGCCCAACATACACCACACATGAGTAAAACTACCGATCCAGTTGCATAAGATGTGGGATAAAGTTGAAATCAAGCAGAACAACAGCGGCATTGAGGAGTTAAAGGCAGGCGATGTGACAAACAACATATTTGGAACAGAGCGCCATTGTTTGACCCATCGGCCCGGTCGAGCGCCTCCACAGTGGAGTCTCTTTTGTTGGGGCTCTCAGCTGTGGGCACATTTGCAGCACTCAGCAGCAGCAGCAGCAGCAGCAGCATCCCATTCTGCCATGAGTCCACGGGGTTCAGGGACAGAGAGCACACGAGAGGACAGGTCTCTGCTGTGACACAGATGATAAGTAATAGACGGGAAGAGTCATCTTCCCCAAAGCAGCGATGATTCATCGTTGACCTTTAGTGCGGCGCAGAGGGACAATGGAGTGTTTGTGTCAGTGTGTGTGTGTGTGTGTGTGTGTGTGTTTGAGTGTGTGTGTTTGTACCTTCAGTATCAAATCCTGTTTTTAACCTGCAACATGCACAGAGAGAGAGAGAGAGAGAGAGAGAGGGAGATGCTACAGGTGTTTGGAGACTGATGCTGTTGTAAAATCTCTGCTTCTGCATCAGGTCACCAGATTAACAACGAAACAAACTGGGATTAATGAGCTGATAATCTGGTTTATAATGATGGAGGAAGTTCATCTGTTTGTTATATCTGAGAACGTCTGGAGAAGTTCATGGAACCGCTACGTTTCAGGCCGATTGCACGGCGTTCAGTCAGGAAAAGGACACACCTTTTAGCTGATCTTAAATTTGGTGAAAATGTGCGCTCATTTTAAACCCCCAATTTTTGCAATTTTCACCGTCTGCCAATTCCTACCGGATCTGTTGGCAAGGCGGATATCGTGGCAGATTACTGATAGTGGCAATCGCGCGATAACAAGTTGTCTCTTAAAAGACAACCAATGAGGTTAACCATATAAGCAATAGATTGTGTCCTTCCAGAGGAGGAAATCTACTTCTAGACTTCTATAATCAGCATCTCCTCATCCATGGTGTCATCGGGGTGAAATGACGTCTAAAAACCTTTCACTTGTTCGTCTCCGCCCGTTTGCATGGTGTGAAATACGATCCTCCTGAAACTTGGAAAGTTTTATTTTGTGTCTGTGCCCAACTTCCTTTCCAGCACGGGTTAATCTGTGCTCAATTTATCCGACTAAAAAAAATAGAACTCTTGCGATCAGCTGTGGAGTCCGGCAATCCGCAGAGGAATGGAAAGAAGCCGGTTATGATCAGCTACGATTGGCGGATCCGGCGTTTTCGTAGCCGTTCTGGATGCAGTGGAATTTGGGGGTCAGTCTGATGACACTCACTTTAAAATGAACAGACTTTTATTTCAGGAGGAAATTTTATGTAAATTCAGCGAGTCCCGCTACAGAACCGTGGTAGAAAAGTAAAATTTAATGCTGTTGTTGTCTGAACCCAAAAGTGGGCCGCGGACACGTTCTGGATGGGTGGCAAACAGCTGGTCAAAAAAGTAAATATTTCATGCGCATCTTATGTTTGACATTTTATTTTGAAAAATAACTTCTTTTGTGCAATTTGACATTAATTTGATATTTTCTGTACACGGAACTTCAGTAGTTGTCGCCCTCAGATCATGTGCTCAGAAATGCACTTTACTCAATAAAAACGGTTTATTTATGTCAAAGATTTGGGTCTTTAAAGGTTTTTTATTTTATTTTTAAATAAATTTGCTTGGTTTGAATTCCAAGCGAAGACTGCTTCGGCCACAGGGGGCGCCAATATCATCACAAACAGGAAGTTCCTCACGGGAGCTTTAATTGAAATGAAGACAAAGACAAGATTTCAAGAATTAGGAATATTCTGTCATGGTTTTGTGGAGAATATGGGCTCATATTAAGAGAGTCATGTCTGTTTTTGACCGCAGGAACGTCATATGAAATCAGTCCAGTGTTGATTTTCAGACTTAAACCTTTTATTCTGAATCTTTTAATTAATTTATGAACTTAAAATGCTGAAGGATGAGGATTATATAAGTCTCCCAAACTTGACCTCTGAGAGACTCCGCCTCTTTTTTCTCCTTGTTCAAACTTTTTTTTTTAACCTGTCGCTGCTTCAATATTTTACTTTAAACACAAAATAAATCTGATTCAACGTCTGATGTGAGTCTTTGCACTATTCCTGATTAAAAATGGTCTTTGAATGATTCACAAAGCATCAAATTCTTCTGTAGATTAATAAGCGATGAAGTTTTTAACAACATGAGATGACAGGTTACAAATAAGGTTCTACTGGAAACATCAGAATTAAAGATGAGGCTTCCTATATCAACGTGTCGGCCTATTACCTCTGATTAATATTCATGCATTTCTGATCTTGTTGAGGAGGGACGTGGGGAAGCTCTGATCAGCACAGAGCAATTATCTGCGCTAAAAAGAGGAGGAACAAGGCAAATGTATTTGTGGAGAGGTGCCAGCGTGTATTTATAACCTGTCATTCTGGAGGTATATTCGGATCAGACATTAGAAACTCTCGCCGTGCACCATGGGTGGCCCCGCGCTTTTTTTTTTTTATTTTTAACCTCTTCTTGTTCTTCTTTCTGCTCGGAGAGGAAACGCAGCAGTGCTGTGGTTTCATGGTGTTATCCGAGAATAGTGAGCGTGCTCGCTGCAGGAGAGGTGAGCTGGCTTTCAAAGAAAAACACAGCCACAGGTGACCACGAAGAAAACACACACACACACACACACACACACACACAAATGTGCTTCATCTGGAGGAGACCTGCTCCTCGAGCTGCTGTCACTACAATCACCTGCACAGCGTTTTTCTGAATTATCATCTTTATGGAGACTCCATTATGACTTAATATCTTCTTCAAGCGTCTCCACTGTCACAGGGAGACTCATTATACAACTCGTGGATCTCTGGACAGCCGTGAAAAGCAGAGGGTTGTCTGATTTGTTGATCAGATCTGCATCTTTGGAGAGTTATTGATGCACGTTTTTGCTCTTTACGCACAAGAAACACGCTGAATCACGAGTGTTTCCGTGCCTGCTCTCTTTATAGAGGTTTAATCTTACGAGAAAGGAGAGTCAGTGAGAGAAAACACGAGTGAAGTTTGTCTGTTTTGGAGGTACACTCACTTCTCCACGGTCTCTGTCAGCGGCAAGCGCCTCTCCTGCGCACGCCGCCGCCGCCGCTCCGGAGAGGCAGAAACTCACATTTGAATCAGTTGAAACTCCACTTCCTCCTTTCGCCTCGGCTTATATAGTGCTCTAAAAATAGCGCAGATCTGGCCCAATGGGAGCCGGCGTGGCTGCGGACCGCGCGCCAACCACAGCACGCAGGATGAGTCGGCTCCGGCTCGGTATTGGCCAGGGGTGGTCTGGTAGGCGGGTGGTGCGCTCCTGCGAGCTCATTGGCGGACGTGCCGAAACGTAATGTAATCACATGGGGGTGGGTTGTCTGTAATTTTGAATCGGGGGGGAAGTTTACAGTGCGCTGGACTTTTACAGAGTTCAGTGTTGTGCGCTCTCGGTGCGTCACACGCTCAAACCCTCCACTGGAAGCGCACGACTCGAGACTCCTCTACATGCGAATACAACCAAGACTCCTGCGCCTTCTCTCCGATCTCAGCGGGCTTCGTTTCCTCTGCAGGGCTGCTTGATTTCGCTTCTACTTGTGGCTGCTGCACCGTAGGACTGAAATGGATGTCATCCCTATGTGTAGCATCTTCCAGGAGCTCCAGATCGTGCACGACACCGGATACTTTTCAGCGTTACCGTCTCTGGAGGAGTACTGGCAGCAGGTAAAGAGAGTTTCTTCTTCTCCTCCTCCGTCTGAGTGAAGGCGCAGTTTGACAGATCGTGCGCCGTGCGGGGACGAGTGCGGGGAATGTGGGGAATTTGAGGGGAAACTTGCGCCGCGGTGACAGCGCGAGGGGAGACGTGCAAATGTCAGAGTTGTTTACGTAACTCCGGGTTTGATTTGGTGCAAAAGTTACAAATCGCCTCTTTAAAAGGGGAAGTGATGCAAGTTCCCTGAATGACAGATCTGTTTCCATTTATTCCACTTTGAATGAAGCGACTTTTAAACTCTCCAAATTCAACTTTTCCTCCTTTTTCTTCACATTTTAAAACAGATTTTTTTGTCTCCTAACCCTCCGAATCCTCATTTCTCTGTTTCTCTTTCTCACAACGAATGAAGAGCTGTCAGTTTCCTGTCACTAAAACACCTCTGCGGATATTTTCAGCTCATGAAAGCAGATCGTATCGGTGACAAAATAAAAACACGCTCAGCTGCAGATTTAGCAACTGAATGGCGAGAGAGCCGTGCGTCTTTTACGCGTATCTCTCTCTCTCTCTCTCTCCCCCTCCCCTCCTCTCTTTCTCTCTACCTCTGTGTGTGTGTGTGTGTGTCTCTCTCGCTCTGTCACACAAACACACACACACACACAGATGAGAGAGTGACAGACCGATAAAGAGAGAGGGAGGGGGGACGAGAAACAGAGAGAAAGAAAGAGAGAGAGAGAGAGACTGATTTCTATTCCAATTTGGCTCGACAAAGCGGCCCCCTGGATGCCAGAACAGAGGAGTTTTATACTGGAAACGAGGGGAGGGCGAAAGGGTTAGGAGATGAAATGAATTGGCAACACGCTTCACTCTTCTTCTTCTTCTTCTGTCTCTCTCTCTTTCTCTCTTTCTCTTTCTCTCTCTCGTCTATTAGATCTCTTCAGGCTCAGGGCCAAGTCGCCCTCCCAGGCATTTAAAGCTCGCCTGGGATTTCTCCAGCACTGCTGACGAGAACCATTTGTCTTGACTGCGGTATCTCTCATTACCAAATTACTACGATGTTCCCACAGTTTGTCCGTTTGACATGAAAAACTCTGTTTCTGGAGGCTCTGAGGACTGTTTTGATTCCTCTCCTCTCGCTTTATCACCTGGTTTCTCTGCGAACTCTGACTCTGGAGTCTCAGACAGTCTCATTTGAATATTTCCAGCTGCTCCAGGAACTCAAACTCCTAATAAGCTTTAAGATTTTTCTCCCCCTCTTACCTAACTTGTTAATCATCCTCGCAGATTTAGCGTCTGACCCAGAGACGGGGGGCCATAAGTAGTCCACCCACTTCTATGAAAGTACCGTTTGGCGTTTAATTGTGATCTGCTGTCGTATCTGCTCTCTGTTCAGGAGGAAATAAGCCCACAATCCGCTGCGGCTCTTGCAGTATTCATGCCAGGCTTTTTATGGACCCCCATGAACCAGACCTCCCTCCTCTCAGGTCCCCGGTGTGCTATGTTATTTCTAGCGATGCCTCCGAATGCATTATTAAATCCACATTATGCTGAATAATTGATAGATTTAAAAGATCTACAAGCACTTCCCTAACCCAGCGAGGGGGCTCTGTAGCATATGCAAATTTCATGACCATCCCCAACACACACCTACGCCGCAATCGCGCACGCTCACGCCGGCGTTGGCGGGTAAGAGCACCTTGTTCTCGCATGCTTTCAGAGGAAATGTGGCGCTTGTAATCTTCCCTGATGTGGCCTCAGAGGGCACCCTCCGAGCGTCTCTCCTCTGCATAGGACATTGTGTTTCCTCTGGTTCCTGCCGGCTGAGAGGAAGCGGGGCCATCAGTGTTCCAGTGTCACGGCGTTTCCTCCTCTCATGCTGCAGCGGCTAAGAATAACCTCAGAGTAGAGTAGATCACCGGCGTTTGAGCTTCCCGTAACAACAGATCTGTTTTTAGGAGGAGGTTTCAGGGACTTTCCGCTCGATTTGAACTCACCGCTATCTCCTCTCCCCTCCTCACAGACATGCCTGGAGCTGGAGAGGTACCTCCAGAGCGAGCCCTACGTCTCTGCCACCGACCTCAAGTTTGAGAACCAGGAGGATCTGTGGAGCAAGCTGATGCTGGCCTGCGGGGACAAGTCGAACGAGCAGGACCCAAAGATCCCCCACATCAAGGACGAGGAAGACAATCAGGACATCCAGCACCTGGACGCCGGCGGTTTCAACTCCGACGCCAGCAGCGAGGCCTCCGACAGCTCCGAGGAGCTCTCCCCGACCCTCGACTTCTCCTCCGGCTCTTTAAATGACATACTGGGAGACGCCGGCGAAGACCTGGGCTCGGCCATCAGCAGCACGCCGCCGTCCTCTCCCGAGCTGGGCAAGGAGGGCTCTGTCGCCCAGGTGTGGAGCGGGATACAGACTGTGCTGCACTCGCCGGGGAAAATAAGGACTGGGGGGATGGAGAGGTCAGGGATGACCAGCGGGGAGGGGTCTCCGGACGGCAGGAGGCGGGTGCACAGGTGCGAGTTCAACGGATGCAGGAAGGTGTACACCAAAAGCTCCCATCTCAAAGCACACCAGCGCACGCACACAGGTAAGGAGGCACCACAGTGACGAGTTTGAGCTTCAGATCAGAGAGGAGGAGGAGGTGGGGGTCAGGTACGGTGGCCCTGGAGGTCAAACACACAGACAGTTTAAAAAGATGGACTGAAGGCAAAAACACTTAATGTGTAAATGTGTTCAAATTTTCTAAAAAACTGAAAAATGAAAAAGGAGTTCACACTAACGAGGCAAAGTCACGTTTTTAAAAAACTCAATAAAATATGAGCCACAAAGAGCCTGTCACATATTACAGTCAATATTCAAAATGTAAAAAACAAATTAAAAAAATTCAACAAAAACTATATTAAATTTAAAAAAAACAATTCTACAAAACCCCCCAAAAATATATTTTTTTAAAATTACAAAAACTAAAAAAATGCCAGAAAAAAAGTAAGGAAAATTTTGGAAAATAAAAAAAATATATTAAAAATTTCCCCCAAAAGATGTGAAAACCACAAAGAAATTTGTAGAATGTAAAATTATACTTTAAAATTTAAAGATTCTTTTAAAAGATACCAAACTTTTTCATGGGGTTTGAAAAAATCTTTAAAAAATGTCATTTTTTGTAAAAACATGAAAATATTCAAAAAATTTAAATATATATGTACATTATCTTATCCAAGAAATTACTGCCCAAAACATAAAAAAATTAAATAAATGCAAAAATTTTTTTTTTTAATTCTATTTTTTTTTAAATATGTCAAAAAGATTGGAAAAAAAACTGAAAATTTTACTCAAAATATTTCATGCGAAAGATATTTCACTAACTGGAAAATGACTTTAAGCTAACACTTAATTTTTTTTTACAATAAGTAAATATTAAGACACTATGCTTACTAGTTAAAATGGCCTAAAAATGTTAGGAAATGCCAAAAAAACATCTTCCCAAACCACAAATATGTTACATAACCTGAAAAAACTTAAATAAAATCATTTTCAAAAAATCCCAAAAGTTTGTTTTTTTTTAAGTAGGAACAAAAAGTTTTTAGTATTTTGTCTTGAAAATGTTTGTGTGGAAGTTTGATCTTTTGGAAAGTGTTTAAATGTGTGAGTAGTTGACCTCCTGGGCCTCCGTAGCCTTCCCTCACAGGTTCTCTATAATAAGATGTTTTTGCAGTAGTTTTGTTTCAAACCTTCAAAATAAGAGCGCGTCAAAGCTGCTCAGGTGTTGTTTTTGTGCTCTTGACGCTGAAGACCCTCCCACATACTTTGAATAGTTTGTCAGGAGGAATGCCCTCAACTATGACCTAATTCACATAGAAGAACGTGACTTCATGCAGGGGGAAGGGAGAATAGGAGAGAGAACAGGGAGGGAGGGACAGGAGGGGGAGGGAGGCTCCTTTGTGGCCGAGCAGCACCCAAAGGATGTGGATCCTGCAAACAAATCAACAGTTCTCAGATTTCACCCTGGGAAAACTCCGAGTCTCAGCCGCTCTCCGCTCACAACAAAAAAAAAAGAAATTATGGGAATCTGACATTTGCTGTGTTTGGTCCCGGGTTCAAATGTGAGCAGTTTCCCCCGTGACCTCTGACCTCTGCCAAGCTGTGCTACCCATTAGGAAGAAAAAAAAGTCACATTCCTGGCATCCTTGAGCCGTCCGTGTCGGCCACATGGTTAATGGCCCTCAGGATCATTAGGAACAGTCTCTATTTTCTCCTGCAGCTCTCTCTCTCCCTCTCTCTCTCCCTCCATTACATAAGCCGTCTACTCCAGCGGCTCCTTACAGCTGCATACCACAGCTCTCAAGACCCACAAGGCACGAGGTTGTTTTTCTCTTCAGCTCACAGCAGTCAGCCCAATCTGCTTAGCCGAACTGGTTCAGGATCCTGTTTCCCTGAAATCAGCACAGTAAAGCCTCCCAAGATTAGACAGAAGGACAAATATTGACTACATATGTATGTGAGGGGTTGACTTTCAAAATGTCAAATATTATGAGGTCTAAAGAGTGTCGAGGAACTGGAACTGAGTCTGTTTCTGAACTTTGTCAAATCGGGTTTAATCACACTGAATCTGACGACGGACTTCCCTGTCTGCGAATCTAGAAATCTAAAAGCCACAGTGACCTTTTGAGGTTAAAAACCGCACAGGCACCCCCCTGCAAACCGCTAATTCTTTGCCAACCTTGTTTTCTGCGCAGGTGAGAAGCCCTACAGGTGTTCATGGGAGGGCTGCGAGTGGCGCTTTGCACGAAGCGACGAACTCACCAGACACTTCAGGAAGCACACTGGAGCGAAGCCATTCAAATGCAGTCACTGCGACAGGTGAGTGTGCCGATCTTTCTCAAACACGGAGCTGTGCGTGTTTGATTTTACGGACGCAAGTTGAGGAAAATTGAGCGCCAAGGATGGGCTGATGAAACCGGGTCGAGGTCAAAGGGTTCGGAGGAATGAGAACTGCGAATAAGTGGAGACCTCTGACACAGTGACATATTATTAACGTGGTTCATGTCGAGCATAAGTAAACGGTTAGCTAGCTTAGGATGTCCTCTTTCTATCCGTTTTAATAAATGTTAGATCACTACACTGCCATCTAGTGGTCAAGAGAATGTCCACATTATTGCCAAACAAAGTGAGATTTCAGAGGGCCATGGTTGTAAATCGATGAGTTTGGACCATAGACTGTATAAACTATTGACGACTTGGTTCTGCCGTCCGCCAAATTACGCATTTGAAGCCGAAAAGTTCTCGGTAATTCCGCGTTTTCTCTCCACTTCCTGAAACCAACATTGCGCAGTAGCGTTGTACGCATTCGGCGGGAGAATCACAGAGAGTCGCTGTGATGACGCTCGGCACAAACAGCGTATCCCCTAGATGAGCTATGTAATCTTCGTACGCCTATAGGCTGTATTTATGACCTATACTGCAGCCCGTCACCAGAGGGCGCTGTTCTCGGAGTGGCTTCACCCAGTGAGGAGGCAGACGGCGTCTGATCTATATACAGTCCTCTTTTCGTTTAGGCCGATTTCTATCTGTTTTAATATATATTGTACCTTTAGATAGCTACAGTGCCATCTAGTGGTCTGGAGTTTGTCAACAGTATCACCAAACATATCGGAATGTTAGCACTCTATGGTTGTAAATCGATGAGTTTGGACCTAAAGTGGGTTGTGAAGGTCTCTGCTGCGCCTTTATTTTGGCGGGTTTGATGTCGCACACTTGCAGTAATACTGTAGTTCACTCTACCAACAATAGGTGGCACCATCGCAGCCTAACCTTGGTTTTAGATTGGAATAAGGAGGTGTTGGTGGGTCGCAAAAAGTGTCGCAAACACGTCACATATCGTGAGTTTTATCGGCAGTGATTTATCGTCTGTTTCTAAATGTCCCGTCTCTTCCCTCTCAGGTGTTTCTCTCGTTCGGACCACCTGGCACTTCACATGAAGAGGCACATCTAGGATGGCCGGCGTGTCCAGAGCTCTGAGGGATGATTCTGGTTGATTGTCCTGACCTGTGGGGGATCAGCGAGGCCGGTGTGTCCTGGGAGCGTTAACAGGGGCACGGCCGTGTTCCAGTCAGTGGAAAAAGATGAAGCAACGCAGGCTATTATTTGCACCATACTTAGTGCCTCCAACACCTCGCTGTGGAGATTTGCTCTTGAAAAGGCTTTGGAGGGAGAGACTTGGAAACATCTGGGCTGGAGACGATGGAAAGAGACTCTTCTGTATGGTGTTCAACGCTTTTTTCCTGGAGGATTACGGGAGTCCTGCGGTGGCGCCCTTCTTCCCTCCAATGACAGTGTGTTTGCCTGTGCGCATGGGGACTGTGAGTGCCTGCGACTGGATGCCTGTGCTGGCTTTCTGGAGTGGATGGAGCTTGCATCGTGGAACTGCGAGTGAATGACACAGAGAGGATGAGGATGATGATGAGGATGATGATGGTGTCTTTTGGGCGGGGGGATGCGTGTGGTCTCACTGGGAGTGAATGCAAGCATTAAAAAGGGGGTTGTGTTTGTGCTGTTTGGGTCTGTCGGCTGCGGCGTTTCCGGGGGGCGGGGAGAGAAACGGGGGTCGTTTTGAGGAGCGGATTAGCTCGAGCGCGCCCGCGGAGGAACCGCAGCTCCACGCTCAAACATGAGAGGTCGTTTTGTTTAGTGCAGCTATTAAATGTGCAATGTATTATGTAGCCTGTCTCAAAACATACATGCTATAAAGCTCATTTTGTTGTCCATTGTGTAAGCTCTGTATCTAAAAAGTAAAAAAACAAAAACAATGGTTGTACACAAAAACAGTTATCGCCATTATAACAGACGTTGCATGGGATCTGGGGATGTGTTGCTCACCTGTTTGCTTATAGGACAACAAAATTTCCATTCGAGAGCAGCTACTTTCATGTATTATCATAGTATTGTACAAAACACATAAGGCAGTCATTTTGTTTTTGACTCGTTTGTCGTTTTCTCGATGAGTTGGGGATACCACTATTGCTCGGCAACTGTCTTGATCATGGGATTTTTTGGTTTCCTTTTCCTTCTTCTTTCTTCTTCACTTTGGCTCTTTTCTCTGGTTTCTATCTGTAAATGCACTGTTAACCTTACTGATGCCTTATGTAAGTGGCCTTGTCCTGTTTAATAGATCCTTCTCTCACACACAGAAACACACCAAACAGAGGGGGGGGGCAGGGGCGGGGGGCTGCGAATGCACTAGTGCGGTAATGAATTGCTTTACAAAAGGCTCCGATCCATACAGTCGCACCTTTTTGACTCCTCTACACTCCTAAATAATAAAGAAGAAAACATATATCAGCTTCAGAACGACTGCCATCTTGACATCTTTGTGCATTATTTGTCGAATCTATCATATATCGAATCGCGTTCTCTGAAAAGACCCGGAAATGTGGAGCACTTAGTAATCTGTTAAAGTTTTACTACTATGTAGTATAAAGAGGCGTGGGCGTCTTGTGCTGTCTGAGGTACAGAGTCTTGGAAATATGTTCTCATGAAATGTGGCATGCTCAGTCAAATTGGGATCAGCGGCAAACAAAACATTGACAGTACACCGAGTCCGCTCGGATCAGCTGATGTGTCGGGAAGCTTCTAGTTTAAACAATGACGACATTCTCAGCCATGAGTCTGTTTTCACCTGGTGTGTGTTTTGGCGAGTCTCGCCCTCGGGGTGAGTCAGTATCTTTACTCAGTCCTGGTTTTAAACAACCCGTGATCTGAATAAACGGTACCGCAACCGGTCGGACCAGCTCAGCGAAGGCGCGCTGCAGGTCTAGAGGTTTCTGTCTGTGTCTGCGGGTGAACTGAGAGGAGACCTGATCTGTGTCCATCTCACTTTATGCATGTTTTTTACTTCAGTTACTGTACGCGACTTCAACGCACTCCGCCGTGGGTTGATATAACTCTCCACTCTCATATCGATATCCCTTTAGTTTTCACGAACTTCATCACTTCTTTGTACGATTGGAAAAAATTCTGAGTGTCTTTTTTTTTTTTTGGTTGGAAAGTTAAAACAGATGGCAGCGTCGGAGTGTTTCCTCACGATTTAACCGAAAGGAAGCACAGCGGCCCGAGGATAGCGCCTTGTGGAACTCCGTAGCTAATGTCGAGGTCAGACTGCAGAGGAGGCAAATTACAGAGCCATAAATTCTTACCATGACTTGACGAACAGAGGCGTCCGACTAATTGGAGTCTTACAGAAATCTGATTATATTCATGTTCGGAAAAGCCGACTAGCGGACTAAACTTAGCCTTCGGTTTGCTAGTTTGTGCCCGTCCCACATATCATCAAAAACTAATGAGCTAAATACACCATTCAGACCAAATCTGGTTTTTGAACCCGGCTGTATTCGTGTTTAATTCGTCTGTAAAGATCGGCGTCTTTGAATGGGTGTGTATGTGGCTTCTCTGCTTTTGGAGCCACCCTCTAGTGGACGCTAAAGGTACTGCAGTTTTAGCACTTCCTCATTGGCATTTCAACTCGGACAGAAAACATAATAAAAAAACAGAAACAAATCTTCAACACTCTTGTTCGTGTAAATTTCAGCCAGACTGTGCTATCGTCATGTAGTCTGACCTCGGCCTACGGCGTGTTTTACAGGATCAATCTCGCTGACAGTTTTACTTTAACAACTTTACAGTAAACCGAGGTCATCGTAAAATGACATCCAAACACTGAGAAATGACGAACTTGCCGAAAAATGTACATTTTAAAAGAGAATTTTGTAAGGAAGCTTCTATTTTGAAAGGGTATGGGACCAAAAACAAGTGCGGTGTGTTGTTTCTAAAGAGAAGAGGCTGAAGAATTATTGTAAAATAATCAAACTCTCCTTTCAGCTCCATTTGCTTCTGTAACATCTTTGTTTTTTTTCCGTTTGTTTGTTTTTTAATTTGATCCGAGGAAGGTTGAGCAAATGTTTGTTCGAAAAAAAAGGCATCAACTGCGTACACACACCTGTGGCCTATCATCTTTCAAGAAAACAAAAACAACAACTTTAAAAAAAAAACACAAAAAAAATACTTTTCAGACGTGAATTGTTCTGGACACTTGAATTGTCTTTTTTTTTTCATTTTGGTGCCCGTTAAGTATTAGTTTTTTGTTTTTTATTTGCCATGTGATTCTTTTTCTGGATTTTTCAAAGACCTGCGAAGACACCCTATCTTTAGCTAAAGAATCTTTATTGGATAAACACGGAGATAAAAATATGAGGCTCTATTTTTATTTGTTTTACCTTGCATAACAAGATTTTTTCATTTGAAATTGTTTTGTAAAATAGTTTCTGTATGAATGTATTTTTTATTGGAAAATGGATAAAAAAGAATTTATTGGATCTACATGTGGCTTTTGTTTTCTTTCTCCTCTTTCGCCCCGGACACGGTCAGCACAGGAAGTGTGTGTTTATGGGATTTTCAGGACAATCCCAGAGGATGAATTAGCTCTGTGAACCCATTTCCCCTTCCCTACAGAGGTCAAAGGTCAGGGTCAACTACAAACCCGCACCATACTGACAGAGCTTCAGTTACACTCACTTACACTCACAAATATCCAGTATTGGTCACTAATCCTTAATTGGGACCTGTTTCCAGAAACATATTGATCCACATCTGTTGAACTGAACCTCTCTGAGAAGCTCCGCCTTCCTTCCTTCCTTCCTTCAACACGGGCGAATGTCTTCTGGCTTCGAGTCCCCATTAAAAACATCTGGCTGATCCTGAGCTCATGTTTGGAGGGGATAACCTGGAGAATAATGAGTGTATACTGTCGATTTATGGCCTTATGTTATGAAAAAGTCTGTCCAACGTTTTTTTTGTTTTGGTTTTAGCTTCAGTCATGAAAATACACGTCTAAACTATGATTATTCTGCATTTCAGACAGTTTTAGAGTCCATATTAACAATTAAAGCATTTTTTAGTCTTGACCAAAGAATCAACATAGACGATTTAATAATCTGAGTTTAAGATTTATGGAAAATAATCCCTCTCTGACTCTCCAGGCTCCCTGCATGAGAGGAGCTCCAGAGTCATTAGAGGCAGCAAACTCACCTGCTGCAAACTCTTACTAGGAACACTGGAGAAACAAATGCCACCAGATCGACGAGTCATTGCAGAGACAGAACACGTTTTGATGGCTGGAATTAGGCTAAAAACAAATCTCCAAAAAATCAAATTAAAACACATAAAATATTTTTTTTGAGTGTGTAAAAAAATGTGCAACACTGTAGTGACGTAATTTACCAGAGTACGACTTACTTTTCCATACGAGAAACCAACAGAATAACGGCCGACTTGTGGTCATACTGCATACTACTATCAAACACAGAACTCAGTATGTAGTATCTACTGCATACAGCTTCGAAAAGGTTGTTTCTGCCGATCATAGCTGATCATATCCATTCAAGTTAACGTGTCGATTTACACCGACTTCTTTCTGTTCCTCTGCTGATCGCCGGACTCCTCAGCTGATCACAAGAGTTCTATTTTTTCTGGACGCCGGAGCATGGCGGATAAATTCAGCACAGATTAACCCGTGCTGGAAAGGAAGTCGGGCACAGACACAAAATAAAACATCCGGCTTCTTTTCAAAATAAAACAGGAGGATTGTATTTCACATCATGCAAACAAGCAGAGGAAACCGAAGTCAAAGGTTTTTAGACGTCATTTCACCCCGATGACACCATGGATGAGGAGATGCTGATTCTAGAAGTCTAGAAGTAGATTTCCTCCTCTGGAAGGACACAATCTACTGCTTATATGTCTATGTGGCTAAAGACAACTTGTTATCATGCGATTGCACATGAATCCGCGTGAATTCCTTCCGTCTGTAATCCGCCATGAATTTCGCCTCACAAATGGATCCGGTAGGGACTGGCGTACGGCGAAAAAGCCGCTGTTCCGAATGCAGTGGAAATCCTGAGTTAGTCTTAACTTACAGCTGCAACAGGCTCTCATACTGCGAAGGTGCGCCACATCGCCACTTTAACTTCCGTTTCTGTAGTTAACGTGAACACCACCTCAGTCAGCTCCTTCATGAGATCATTCGTCTTTCCCTCGAACCGTTTTCCTGATCAGGACGTTTGCATGTAAAGCTTGATTTGGAGTTTGACATAACAGCGACGACTGTGAGCTGTTTGGTGGAATGTGCATCGTGAGGACAATCTGTTCCTCCTGCTCCAGCCAAGTGCTCCGAGTTTTCATCTTACTCTCCAAGAAATTTATGCAAATTAAGTTGTGCCGCAAACAAATCCCCGATAAGAGCTCTGCACACTACACAGACAAATAGCCTCTTCATCTCCGATTGCAAGCACAAAGTGCTCCAGCTTTAACGCCGCTCCACCGAGCCTGCCACGCTCCGTGCCCCAAAGCCCAGAAATAATTGAAGCACTCTCAAGAGTTTTTTTTCCCCCCTTTCAAAGATGTTTATTGGTATTTTAATTCAAATTGCCCGAACTAAAAACCATGCAGAGTAATAAAATAAACATGTTGGGATATAAGAGAGACTGCAAAAGACAAAATCAAATCAAATAAGAGAGAAGTCTTTTTTTTCTTTACCTGATATTTGTGAATAAAAACGCTTTTATTTTCTCCGGCGATAAGACGACGGAGGATCTGCAACAGTCCAGGAGAGTCGCTTTGGGAATTGGGCAGAGTCTAAATTTGCATGGCAGCTCTGTCAATTATTCTGTGGACACAATAACATCATTTATATCAATTAAATATGCATGACTGTGACAGACTCCAATGGCTTTATTTTCTCTTACTCCAGAGCTATCAGGCGTCCCACTGTGTGCAGAATTAAAGACGAGCATGCTCCTCTGGTTTTGGACAATTTAGTGGGAAAAGTCGATCCACGAGTTTTTTAAGGGGAGGGGGGGCGTGCACGGTTTCACATTAACCATGTGGCAAAAACGCAGACGAGACGATGACCGCTGATTTATACAATTCCGGCATAAATTAATTTAGGGTCAAACACACCGTAACACCGAGTTAGACCCCCCCTCCAGAGATGAAAGTTGTCGACCGCTTGCTTCTCTAGTTATACCAACTTTAGTAACGACCGCAGGATAGAAATACAGAGAGCCACGCCCCCAACCAAAACGCCACTCTATAGCCACAAATAATGCTCAGAACAGCACCTAACTTCATCAACAGGACATATAGGGTCACAGACATAGTACTAGACACCAAACATCTTTTTAACTTTGACTAAGAGACTAAATACAACTCACCTACTCTCTTCCAGCAGCTGCTTGTTTGTAGAGACCTCAGGCCAGTCCGTTACGGACTACAGCGGGGTGTCGCAGCTCAACGAAGAACATTTATGATCATTTCTTTATTATTTTCTTAAAGTAATAATCACCATATTAATCATTTTACAGACGCGGTAGTTCTTCTGCCTTAGCGTCTCGGTCTGATTGTATTTCTGATTGTAAGAAATGATCATAAATGTTCTTCCTTGAGCTGCGGCACCCCGCTGTAGTTTGTGTCTTCCTGATGGGTCTGAAACTAACAGGAGCAGCTGAATTTTTAAAGACCAAAGACCTGATGTGGAGACAGCTGGAGTCTCAGTCTCTCAGTCAGGTTGGTCTTTAATTAGCAGGACCTGTACTGATAAATCCTTTTTGAGGGTTTGTCGTTGTTCACCTCATAGCTGTGTCTCATGGAGGGGTTAAACATCACCAAGTTTTTCTACATTTCTTGGAAATTTAGGGTTCACGCATTTCATAAAACTACAAATCCTGATCGGTGCAAATATTAAATGTGTAACGACTCCTATTTAGTGAACTTGCCTCTTTGTTTAATAGTTAATCAGTTAAAATGATCATCTGAAGAAAAACAAACTCAGCTGGAGTTCCCTCAACATTATCCATATGTTGGTAAAATCGCCCAACTGGTGAATTTTGACTTTTATATAACAGCTTTAGTGCTTTTGTTACACATGGAGTATCTTTATAAGCTTTTTTTTCACTTTGTAGAAGTTATTTTAGTCTTTTTGGTGAAACAGTGCTGAGTATCTCCTCTGTATAATCCGATATCCGCTCTGTTCTGGTCCTGCCCAGATTTAAAGACGTTTAAGGACGTTTCCTGGACTGACTTTCCTACTTCTTTGTCTTTTTATTGTACATGAAAGAAGTCGACTGATCTAGTGTGAGCTCCTCCTTATTGGTCATTTTAACCCTCACTAAACTAATGTGACCTGGTCTAGAGGCTCCGACTGACCAGACCGACAACAACCTGTTAGTCCAGTTCCTGAGGGGTTCGCTCTTCGGCTTCTGTCAGTCTCAGATTCAGACAACTTCATTAATCCCAGAAGCGCAACTCAGTTCACGGTAACCCGCCTTGTTGTTAAATCAAGGAACAAACGACGAAACGACAAAAAAATTGCATTAATTGAATTTTGTTGTTGGGATGTGAAGAAAAGGTTCATTGAATCTCCAGACGTCTGGCGCTGTAAGCTTTGATGAAACCGCCACATTTACAGGTTTATCTTGACGGTCTGATCGTGAATAAAACTGTAATCATGTTCAACGCTCAGACCCTCTCGTCATCTGACGCCGTGTCCACACTCAGAGCCGTCCCTGAGATGAATGAGGACATTCAAGGTCGACCAGGAGAACAAGATCTGCCCCTGAGCCGGGTTTCAACACACGTACACATGTACACAAACACAAACACAAACACACACTCATGCTCCTCCCTCCCCCCCTCAGAGCTTGTGTGTCCTGTGGCCCTGGGAGGGGGAGGACGGGGGAGGAGGAGGAGGGAGAGTTCTTGTTAAACCAGAAGGAAAGTGGAGGTCAGTGACCCCACATGAGGATGGTCGTCTGTCAAGTCCCTGTCACCTGGGAACCTTCCAGCTGGTCTTATTCAGATCCAGCTCAGACCGAGTCCTGCTGCTTTTCTCAGACTCACCAGGCTGACATGTTGGGAATTTGGTCGTGTCGCTCATGAACGTTCAAAAGAACTGCTGAGTGGACGACGTGAACTGAATCCCTCTGAGACCTGATTTGTTCCTTTCTCAGACTAGACTTCTAGAATCAGCATCTCCTCAAACATGGTGTCATCGGGGTGAAATGACGTCTAAAGACCCTTCTGGAAAAAATTAAACTCATGCGATCAGCTGTGGAGTCCCGTGATCTGCAGCAGGAAATGGACACGTTAACTTGAATGGTTAAGATCAGCTACGATCGGCGGATACGGCCTTTTCGTAGCCCTTCCAGATGCGGTGGAAATTGGGGGTTGAGCGAATGAACAACATGTGTCACTCAGTGAACGCGGCTGTGTGACTTCGGCAGCAGGGGAGGGGAGGGGCTCGTTCAATGCACGAACTCGCCGCTGTGTCGCTCACTTGTGTACCGCACTGGCAGGACGGGGCTCCGAAGAACTGACTGATTTGGTGAACGAATCTTTTGAATGAATCGTTTTAATGAACTGATTCTAAAGATTCAGTCAAAAGAACTGATCCTCCCATCATTAGTGGATTTAAACGATTTGAAGTTCGTACATTTGTAAAGTTAAACATCTCCATCAACCCTCTTTAATCCAGACTCTGGATTATCCCTGAAGAATCCTGGTTTCTCCTCTGACCCCCCGCCCGTCCCTGAAAGGTTAAACTCGTCTGTTGGATGGTGGACTTCGGTCCTTCTATAGTCACACTGTGGACTCCTCCTCCTCCTCCACCGAGGGCTGGATGGCTTTTACAACCCCTCTGTACACAGACAGTGATGAAGAGGTCTGGGGGTTTGAGGGGGCCGGAGCTCCAGCCAGACTCTGGGTCGGGTGCCTGATGGATGGGCATTCCTCGGCCTTCCTCCCCCTCTGAAACCCCTCATCCTCCTCTTTTCCTACCCTCTCCTCCCTGAGGTGATGAACAAGCTCATTACTATGGTGGCCTGATAAAAGGAGGCCATTATCTCCTCACAGCGCACTTTGAACCCTGACAAAGGAATCTACTCCTCCCTGTCTCCAGCTCCTGGTTACGTAATGCAGTCAGGGTTGGCGGTGGCTCGCTGCCAACGTTTTTTTCAGCGCTCGCTCTCGCTGAAATCTCCTCCAAGATACCGCCACAGCCACATACGCTGAATAGTGGCTCCTCAGTGAACCGGGTCTATCTTTATTTCCATCCTGCCCTGATGCGTCTGTCAACAGAGGGGAAGTCTGTCATCTCTGCCGTCGTTAAGAAAGACTTACTGCACAGAAACTGTGGTTATCATGGCAGACGCAGCTCTGAATTAGTTATAAATATAATGGGAAGTCTCCAGGTTTAATGCTGAACTAATTTACTGATACTTCTTATTGATTAGGAAGAACAAAACATGGAGAGGAGCTCTTTAAACAGCTTGGCAGAAGGACGGTGTTTTAACTTTGACCACGTTACGATCGATTGGACTCGTTCTGTTAGTCCGACATTAAAAATATAAAGATTTAAGGTTAAGAAGGTTTTAACGAGGCGAATCAAACCTGCGAAACCCCGATCAGGGTGGACGCTGTTTGTGTTTTCACAAGGTGGCGCTATGACTGAAATTGAGAAATGGGCTCATGGATTTGTTCTGGGGCAGATCTGGATCATGAACGTGAAATCGGAACAAGACTGAACGAGCTAGAGTAACTTCCTGTCAAATGTTTGGGTGTCAGGAAGGAAGGAAGGAAGGAAGGAAGGAAGGAAGGAAGGAAGGAAGGAAGGAAGGAAGGAAGGAAGGAAGGAAGGAAGGAAAGAAAGAAAGAAAGAAAGAAAGAAAGAAAGAAAGAAAGAAAGAAAGAAAGAAAGAAAGAAAGAAAGAAAGAAAGATAGATAGATAGATAGATAGATAGATAGATAGATAGATAGATAGATAGATAGATAGATAGATAGATAGATAGATAGATAGATAGATAGATAGATAGATAGAAACAAAAGATGGAAAAAAGAAACAGGAAAGAAAGAAAAAAGAAAGAAAAGAAGAAAAACAAACAAAGAAAGAAAGGAACAAAAAGAATGAAAGAAAGAGAAGAAAGAAAGCAAGTAGAAAGAAAGATAGAAAGAAAGAAGAAAGAAAGAAAGAAGAAAAAAAAGAGATAGATAGATAGATAGATAGAACAAGGAAAGGAAGGAATAAGGAAGACAGAAAGAAAGAGACAAAAGAAGACAATAGATAGAAAGAGAAAAAGAAACAAAGACTGAAAAAAAACAGGAAAGAAAAACAGAAAAGAGAAGGAAAGAAAAGAAGAATACAAAGAAAGAAAGAAAGAAAAAAGATAGATAGAGAGGAGAGAAAAGAGAAAAAAGAAAGAAAGAAAGAAAGAAAGAGAGAAGGAAGGATGGAAGGAAGAATAAGAAAAATAGAAAGAGAAAAAGGAACAAAAGATGGAAAAAAGAAACAGGAAAGAAAGAAAAAAGAAAGAAAGAAAGAAAGAAAGAAAAAGAAAGAAAGAAAGAAAGAAAGAGAAGGAAGGATGGAAGGAAGAATAAGAAAGATAGAAAGAGAAAAAGAAACAAAGGATGGAAAAAAGAAACAGGAAAGAAAGAAAAAAGAAAGAAAAGAAGAAAAACAAACAAAGAAACAAACAAACAAAAAGAATGAAAGAAAGAAAGAAAGATTTTATCGACCTTAACCTGGATGTTTTGTGCAGATCTGAAACACGACTGTAACGTCTCTTTGTCGTGTCCGAATGTTCGCACCGCTCAGGAAGATCGCTCTGGAGAAAACAGGAATTTGTCGATATCCCTTTTCTCTCTTATTGTCCTTCACAGATTAGATTTTAATCCAGTTATTTACCGATTATTTTCATATAAAGGCTCTGAGAACAGATTGCCGCTTTAATCTGGAGAGAAAGGAGAAAGTTTCTCTGCCGCTCATAAAACAGACATCACCGTGAGCAAACAACAGCGACGGCGGCGGCGGCGATGATGCAGAGGAGTGTTTGTGCGTCATTCTCGTTATAAAGCTGTAAAAGTTAGGGGACAAAATAAAAAAACACGCTTTTTGACAGATGTGGGACACGCTCAGCCCGTCCCCTCCTGAACGCGGCCCCTGGGACCCACTCCCACACATCCAGCCCAGGTAACTCACGCCGCTCCTTTCTGAATGTGGAAAAATTGAAAACAGTAAATCCTGCGAGTTTTTATCAAGGTCACGGCAACTTTTCTCTCCTCTTTCAACGCAAAAGAAATCCATAAACACACACACACACACACCTCGAGGAGAAACTCAGTCGCACACATTCACACCTCTTCCCCTGAAGGTTTGTGGAGCCCTGTTTGAATTCACCTATCACCATGACAACTACTCTCTCTTTACCGGCGGTGCCCGTGGGAGGTTTTCGCCCAGCCTTTTCTAATTTCACACTGTGTGGATATCTCCATTCAGTAATTACAATCCCATCCATTCTCATTTTCCCTGTCCAGACAATGTGCCCTGGATACACACACACACAGAAAACCCTCTGTACACACTCATACACACACACACACACTCTCACCCTGCACGTACACACAGCAGTATAGACCCCCTGTGTTCCTGGCACATCCTGAAACGCTGTGAGTGTGTGTGTGAGTGAGAGAGATAGAGGCGCAGAGAGACAGATGTGAACTGTCACGACTCCAAATTCAGCGACGCACACAATCGCAGACGAGCACATCTCTCTCCAAATCCAATTACAAGCCAACCTGCAGCCTGTAAAGTTCGGCTTATTGTTATAAAGTTCATGATTACGAAAATCATTTCAGCTCCGATCTGTGCAGGTTTACTTTACGAACAACAGAAATACTCAGAACAAAGACTCAGAAACGTGCTGAAAGAAAGATTTGATTAAAAACAGATTTTGATGGTTTACGGTTCATTTGAATACTGAATTTAGCTAAAATACAACACATCAGGTGAGAAAACAAAAAAAAAATCCTGATAAATTAACAATATATGTTCATTTTAGATATAATACTAAAAACATGTTTTAAAAAAAGTTGATAAACAGACCAAGAAACACTGAAAAAAAGTTCCCTAAAGCAGAGGTTCTCAACTGGTCTCACTCTGGGACCCACATTTTCCCATGATCCTTCAGTCGTGACCAACTTTTATAAAAATTCAAATCAAGCAAAGTTATTTTTTTATTAAAAAAAAAACTTTTAAGACTCTAATCTTTAACATAAATACACCCATTTTATTGAGTAAAGTTCATATCAGAGCACATGAACTGAAGAAGACAACGACTGAAGCTCCATATACAGAAAATATCAAATATCAAATTGAACATAATGCAGACCGAAAAAAAAAAGTATTTTTCAAAATAAAAGACATGTCAAACATTAGATGCGCATTAAATATTTACTTTTTTGACCAGCTGTTCGCAACCCATCCAGAGCGCATCCGCGACCCACTTTTTGGTTGGGACCCACCAGTTGAGAACCACTGCCAAAGAGGATCTTCTAATGGCAGGCTAGTAACATGACTGGATATGAAGGGGGCGTTCAAGAGAGACTGAGTCCCATCAGATGTAAAAATGGGACAAGATTTGTGAGCAGAAAGTTCAACATTTTCAGGAAATTTCATTTTTGGTGTAAAATTTTGAAGAATTTGGAAGAGTCTTTCGTCTACTGAGGAAAATACGATTTAAAGAGTCAGAATCCGACACAACTCTGTAGTAGAAGTCATCGCATTCAAATCACTTCTAAAAACCAACACTGCTTCTACAAAGAGAGAACTGTTAACATTATCGTCATAGACTGTATAAACTATGGACAACTTGGTTCCGCCCTCTGCCAGTACTCAACTCAACTTTATTTGTAAAGCACTTTAAAACAACCACAGCTGAACAAAGTGCTGTTCATAAATAGACAAAACAAAGCAGACATAAAAAACAATCAAAACTATGGATTTTAAAACCCAAAAAGTTCTCTGTAATTCCATATTTTCTCTCCACTTCCTAAAACCAACATTGCTCATTAGCGTTGTGCGCATTCAGCGGGAGAGTCGCCGTGATGACGCTCGGCTCGAACAGCGTATCCCCCAGGAGAGCTACGCAATCTTTGCACACCCATAGGCTGTATCAGGTGTCAATCATAGAAAACATGAACCCCCTAAAAACTTTTAAAAATGGAGCTGTACAGAAAAAAGAGGACTTGAGCACAAACCAGTCTGACAGTAACTACATGTCAACATCATAACCTATACTGATGACCTGTACTGCAGCCAGTCACCAGAGGGTGCTGTTTTCAGAGTGGCTTCACCCAGCGAGGAGGCAGAAGTCAAAAATCCTCAAAAAAAACATCCTTTTCTAAATCACGCTGAGTTATTTTTGATGTTCAGAGTAAAAAGAAACAATGGTATCAAAGTTGAGGTAAAAAACTGTCATTTGCTTGATAAAATTTTACAAATTTGATTTTGGTTCAAATCAATGAATCAGTTCTCGAAGGACTTCATGCCAGCTGAAATAATTAAACTTTTCTCCCCGACAGGACGAAAAGTTCCCGCTCTGTTTGGCTCTCAGTATCACCGTCTGTGCCTCTCCAAAGGCTGTCATACCGCATCGGCTAAAAGGACTCCCCGTGATGAATTATTTTCAGTTAGCTCTGACTGAAACATACTCTTCAGTCTGAGAGAGGGAATCAGCAGATGAGAGGAGACCGAAACGACCCGGCGAAGAGACAGTCAGCAAGAAAACAGTCAACATCAAAACAGTCAGCAAGAAAACAGTCAACCATAAACAGTCAGCAAGAAAACAGTCAACAAGAAAACAGTCAACAAGAAAACAGTCAGCAAGAAAACAGTCAGCAAGAAAACAGTCAACCATAAACAGTCAGCAAGAAAACAGTCAACAAGAAAACAGTCAACAAGAAAACAGTCAGCAAGAAAACAGTCAACAAGAAAACAGTCAGCAAGAAAACAGTCAACAAGAAAACAGTCAACAAGAAAACAGTCAGCAAGAAAACAGTCAGCAAGAAAACAGTCAACCATAAACAGTCAGCAAGAAAACAGTCAACAAGAAAACAGTCAACAAGAAAACAGTCAGCAAGAAAACAGTCAACAAGAAAACAGTCAGCAAGAAAACAGTCAGCAAGAAAACAGTCAACATCAAAACAGTCAACCATAAACAGTCAACAAGAAAACAGTCAGCAAGAAAACAGTCAACCATAAACAGTCAGCAAGAAAACAGTCAGCAAGAAAACAGTCAACACCAAACCGGTCAACATCAAAACAGTCAACCATAAACAGTCAGCAAGAAAACAGTCAACCATAAACAGTCAGCAAGAAAACAGTCAACAAGAAAACAGTCAACCATAAACAGTCAGCAAGAAAACAGTCAACAAGAAAACAGTCAACAAGAAAATGCTGCTCCCCCGTGTCGTTCAGGAGCCCAAACAAAGTTAGCGTGCTACAATATCGGACAGTAGAAACCAACCAGAAAGTTCGGAAAATTGTCTGAATCCTCCTTTGGCCACGACTGCCGACACAAGCAAGAAAACAAAGTAAATACCGGAGACTCTGGAGGAATAACGGGCGCTTAAAACGGAGGTAGACCGGACAAGAGCTAAAAAGCCGGGTCAACATAAACGATGGGGGACGCTTGGGGATCTTGGTGACCCTGTAACCTTTCTGCTGGACAGGTAAACCGCTTTAACAAAGTAAGACAAGTGTCTGTAACAGAAGTGTTTCTTGTCAAACGGACCTGCTGTAGCGTGTTGTAGCGCCATCGCTAAACTGTCCTCCCTCGGGTCCTGGACTATGTCACTTTATCCTCGTTGTAGAAGTCCTGCAAACATTGTGTTTGCTGGTAGTCTGTTGGCATCTACAGTAGCACCAATGCTTTTGACTTTCACCTTGACTGGGCCCCATTTGTAATGATCTGAAGTATTTATCTGCATTATATCTGAATTTAACTGGAACGATACGAGCGAGCAGGAGCGTCTGTTTGTGGGCGGGGCTTAAGAGAGGGAGGGGAGAGAGAGAGAGAGAGAATTTCTCTGTGTTGTATCTTTAACTCTGTGGCTCTAAAACAGTTGAAGTGTGTTTCTGCTCGATGAGGTTTCTATGAGGTGAATAAATGTTGGTTCAGTTGATCTTCAGGACGGCTGCAGCTTTAAGAACTTCTGCTTGTTGGAGTTTGAGAGTCTAAAGTTCACAAAGACGCTCCTCCTCCTGGATTGTAGACAAACTGGATCTGATCAGGTCCAAAGTCTGAAGATGGGTGTAACCAACATAAACGGAGCTGACATTAGATAAGAGCTCAGACCAGGAAATAAAACTCAGTCAGTCGTCGTCGACAGCGAGTGTTGAAATGGCGCAGAAAGGAGTTCATCTGGACCGTGAGTCTTTCTCTTGTTCCATCTGTTTGGATCTTCTGAAGGATCCGGTGACTCTTTCCTGTGGACACAGCTTCTGCATGAGCTGTATTCAATCCCACTGGGATACTGAGGATGAGAAGAGGATCTACAGCTGTCCTCAGTGCAGAGAGACCTTCATACCGAGGCCTGTCCTGAAGAAAAACACCATGTTAGCAGGTTTAGTGGAGGAAGTAAAGAAGAGCGGACTCCAAGCTGCTCCTGATGGTTCCTCTGAGGCTGGACCTGAAGATGTGGCCTGTGACGTCTGCAGTGGGAGAAAACTGAAAGCTGTCAAGTCCTGTCTTCAATGTCTGGTTTCTTACTGTCAGATTCACCTCCAGCCTCATTTTGAATCTCCTACATTTAAGAAACACAAGCTGGTGGAGCCCTCCAAGAAGCTCCAGGAGAACATCTGCTCTCGTCATGATGAGGTAATGAAGATCTTCTGCCGCACTGATCAGAAGTCCATCTGTCATCTCTGCTGTTTGGACCAACACAAAGGCCACGACACAGTCTCAGCTGCAGCAGAAAGGACTGAGAGGCAGAAAGATCTGGAGAAGAAACAAGGAAACATCCAGCAGAGAATCCAGGACAGAGAAGAAGATGTGAAGCTGCTCCAACAGGAGGTGGAGGCTATCAACGGCTCTGCTGATAAAGCTGTGGAGCACAGCCAGGAGATCTTCAGCCAGCTGATCCGTCTGATGGAGAAACGCCGCTCTGAGGTGGAGCAGCAGGTCAGATCCCAACAGGAACGTGAAGTGAGTCGAGTCAAAGAACTTCAGGAGAAGCTGGAGCAAGAGATCACTGAGCTGAAGAGGAAAGACGCTGATCTGCAGAAGCTCTCTCTCACAGAGGACCACAACCAGTTTCTGCACAGCTACACCTCACTGTCAGAACCGGGTCAACCTGCAGACTCATCCAGAATCAACATCCGTCCTCTGAGATACTTTGAGGAGGTGACAGCAGCTGTGTCAGAGGTCAGAGAGAAACTCCAGGATCTTCTGACAGAGACGTGGACAAACGTCTCACAGGCCTTGACTGAAGTGGATGTTTTACTGTTAGAACCACCAGGACCAGCAGAACCCAAGACCAGAGCTGGTGTCTTAAGATATTCACAAAGAATCACACTGGATCCAAACACAGTAAATGAATATCTGTTATTATCTGATGGAAACAGAAGAGCAACATTTACAAAACAACCACAGTCTTATCCTGATCATCCAGACAGATTCACTGATTATGAACAGGTCCTGAGTAGAGAGAGTCTGACTGGACGTTGTTACTGGGAGGTGGAGCAGAGAGGGGACTGGGTTTATGTAGCAGTCGCATACAAGACTATCAGGAGAGACGGAGACTCATTGGATTGTTACCTTGGAAGAAATGACAAATCTTGGAGGTTATTCTGTTCTAAAGACAAATATCAATTTGTTCACAACAAAGTCTTCACTGATGTCTCAGGTCCTCCATCCTCCAGAGTTGGAGTGTACCTGGATCACAGAGCAGGTATTCTGTCCTTCTACAGCGTCTCTGAAACCATGACTCTCCTCCACAGAGTCCAGACCACATTCACTGAACCTCTACATGCTGGACTCTTCACTTCAGACTCTGCTGAGTTTGTAGAAGTGAACTAAAGAGAATTTTGAGTCCATCAGACCAAAATCATGGACTGAGATCCTTGAACTCTTGAAATGTTCTGGTTTGTAAATGTTTGTGGATCAGTCTCACCAAAAACTCTGGGTTTAGTTCTTCATTTCAGCTTTTTGATTCTTTTCTAAAGATGCTGATTTGGTCGCAGCTTTAAGGACAGTGATTGTGGAGAACTTTGATTGTTTGTATTTCTCATGTTGAAAAATCTTCATCCAGTTTGATATCAACAACATCAAGATGATGGTTTGTTCAAATCACCTTCAGTTGGTGCAGATGTTGAAGGTCTGAGACTTTAGAAAAAAGTGAGGTCAAAATCACAGAAAAAGGACGACCTTATTTCCTGTCCCAAATCCAAGCGTCTAAAGTCTTTCCGGTCGTCCCCAAAAACTCTTCAGATGATCTGTTTCTTTCTCTGTTTGCTGAATATTTGTGTTCATGTGATCGATGGATATTTCTGTCTGCTTCTGTTGGATCAGTGTGTTTGTAAAGACATCTAGAATCAGACTTTGGACAGATCTACATGTTGTTATGAGCTTTTCAATCACTCTAATAATAATAATCACATTTATTAGTCCGACTGTTTGGATGTTTCTGACTCAGCTCAGATTGTGGTCAAGTCTCTGATTGTGGGTAAAAAAATCATAAAAATCCTCAAACTGAGTCACTGAAATCACCTCGTCTGTTTGTCTTTATTGTGTCTGTTTCTGCTGGATGTCATGTTACCGCTCCGTCTGGGTCATGGATCCATGTGGTCTTACATGTCCCAGATGTGAGTCCTGCAGCTGGATCAGGTTTTCTGTAGAGGACAAAGACAGGAGGCAGGTTGTGTGTCTTTTTGATTTGATGTAACCAGACTAGTCCTGTTGAGATCATCAATCTCTTTTTCAGGGGGGGTCCTGACCAAGAATGGCAGCAAAAAACAAACACACTCAGACTCACACAGATCCACATCAGCAACAAGAACTCAGTGTTCATATGAGAGAGTCCAGCTGATCTCTAGTCTAAGGAAAGAAGTCTGGTCCACGAGAAGAAAACCGACTTAAAGGTGGAGTAGACAGGAATCTGTTAAAGAAGCATCTTTTTATTTTGTGGTTTTAATACAAAAATCTTTTAATATCAGTTAATAGTTATTAGTTATTGATGACATTTGGTAATATATCGATATCTCTGTGTTCTCTTATGTCTGTGTCGTCAACATTTGAACATTTTTGAGCGGTCCGCTCTTTCTGACTGTAAACAAAGCCGTTCTCCACCTCCTCTAACCTGATTGGTTGTGAGGCAGACGCTGCTCCCCCGTGTCGTTCAGGAGCCCAAACAAAGTTAGCGTGCTACGATATCGGACAGTTGAAACCAACCAGAAAGTTCGGAAAATTGTCTGAATCCTCCTTTGGCCACGACTGCCGACACAAGCAAGAAAACACTCAAACATAAACAGTCAGCAAGAAAACAGTCAACAAGAAAACAGTCAGCAAGAAAACAGTCAGCAAGATAACAGTCAACAAGAAAACAGTCAGCAAGAAAACAGTCAGCAAGAAAACAGTCAACAAGAAAACAGTCAGCAAGAAAACAGTCAACATCAAAACAGTCCTCCATAAACAGTCAACAAGAAAACAGTCAACAAGAAAACAGTCAGCAAGAAAACAGTCAACATCAAAACAGTCAACAAGAAAACAGTCAACAAGAAAACAGTCAGCAAGAAAACAGTCAGCAAGAAAACAGTCAACATCAAAACAGTCAACAAGAAAACAGTCAGCAAGAAGACAGTCAGCAAGAAAACAGTCAACAAGAAAACAGTCAGCAAGAAAACAGTCAGCAAGGAAACAGTCAGCAAGAAAACAGTCAACATCAAAACAGTCAACAAGAAAACAGTCAGCAAGAAAACAGTCAGCAAGAAAACAGTCAACATCAAAACAGTCAACCATAAACAGTCAACAAGAAAACAGTCAGCAAGAAAACAGTCAGCAAGAAAACAGTCAACCATAAACAGTCAGCAAGAAAACATTTAACAAGAAAACAGTCAGCAAGAAAACAGTCAACAAGAAAACAGTCAGCAAGAAAACAGTCAACACCAAACCGGTCAACATCAAAACAGTCAACCATAAACAGTCAACACCAAAACAGTCAGCAAGAAAACAGTCAACAAGAAAACAGTCAACCATAAACAGTCAGCAAGAAAACAGTCAACAAGAAAACAGTCAACAAGAAAATGCTGCTCCCCCGTGTCGTTCAGGAGCCCAAACAAAGTTAGCGTGCTACAATATCGGACAGTAGAAACCAACCAGAAAGTTCGGAAAATTGTCTGAATCCTCCTTTGGCCACGACTGCCGACACAAGCAAGAAAACACTCAAACATAAACAGTCAGCAAGAAAACAGTCAACAAGAAAACAGTCAACAAGATAACAGTCAACAAGAAAACAGTCAACAAGTAAACAGTCAGCAAGAAAACAGTCAACATCAAAACAGTCCTCCATAAACAGTCAACAAGAAAACAGTCAACAAGAAAACAGTCAGCAAGAAAACAGTCAACATCAAAACAGTCAACCATAAACAGTCAACACCAAAACAGTCAGCAAGAAAACAGTCAACCATAAACAGTCAGCAAGAAAACAGTCAACCATAAACAGTCAGCAAGAAAACAGTCAACAAGAAAACAGTCAGCAAGAAAACAGTCAGCAAGAAAACAGTCAACATCAAAACAGTCAACAAGAAAACAGTCAGCAAGAAAACAGTCAACATCAAAACAGTCAACCATAAACAGTCAACAAGAAAACAGTCAGCAAGAAAACAGTCAGCAAGAAAACAGTCAACCATAAACAGTCAGCAAGAAAACATTTAACAAGAAAACAGTCAGCAAGAAAACAGTCAACAAGAAAACAGTCAGCAAGAAAACAGTCAACACCAAACCGGTCAACATCAAAACAGTCAACCATAAACAGTCAACACCAAAACAGTCAGCAAGAAAACAGTCAACAAGAAAACAGTCAACCATAAACAGTCAGCAAGAAAACAGTCAACAAGAAAACAGTCAACAAGAAAATGCTGCTCCCCCGTGTCGTTCAGGAGCCCAAACAAAGTTAGCGTGCTACAATATCGGACAGTAGAAACCAACCAGAAAGTTCGGAAAATTGTCTGAATCCTCCTTTGGCCACGACTGCCGACACAAGCAAGAAAACAAAGTAAATACCGGAGACTCTGGAGGAATAACGGGCACTTAAAACGGAGGTAGACCGGACAAGAGCTAAAAAGCCGGGTCAACATAAATGATGGGGGACGCTTGGGGATCTTGGTGACCCTGTAACCTTTCTGCTGGACAGGTAAACCGCTTTAACAAAGTAAGACAAGTGTCTGTAACAGAAGTGTTTCTTGTCAAACGGACCTGCTGTAGCGTGTTGTAGCGCCATCGCTAAACTGTCCTCCCTCGGGTCCTGGACTATGTCACTTTATCCTCGTTGTAGAAGTCCTGCAAACATTGTGTTTGCTGGTAGTCTGTTGGCATCTACAGTAGCACCAATGCTTTTGACTTTCACCTTGACTGGGCCCCATTTGTAATGATCTGAAGTATTTATCTGCATTATATCTGAATTTAACTGGAACGATACGAGCGAGCAGGAGCGTCTGTTTGTGGGCGGGGCTTGAGGGGAGAGGAGGAGCTGAGGGGAAAACTGGTTGGGAGGGGTAGAGTTTACATTCAAGATTTCTCCTAAAAACTGGAATAACTCAGATCCTGACTACAACACTTTTTAATGAACCAGAATTTGATTTATTTATGCGCCATATAAAGACAACAGCCTAAACTGTGAATCTGAAATAGACACGCCCACGACATTGTTGCCTCTACCTCAGATATGGATTCATCAGACTTTCCTGATCCACTTGGTTCGGGTTTAACGGGCTTGGACTTTACAGCATTTCTGAATCTGATACTGAACCCGGTTCCCCCCCCCCTGATATCATACATCGAGCGCGCTGATGGGGATTTAAATGAACACATTACTCCACACTGGAATGAGGCTCTTTAAAACCCTGAACATGAAAAGAAGGTAATGAGAAAAGTTTGTAAAACCTCATTTAAAGTTCATGTTTGCATCATTTGCAAACACCGGCGTACATGGGACCAGTATTTTGAGTCAGGAGGGGATCAGAACATTGCTGCGTCATTACTTTCCATGAGTGTGTCGCTCAGACCTCCATCCTGATTTCTCTTTATAATCATTTTAAAACTCTGTATTTGATCTTCATTTCACACGTACATTACACTCTCTCTTTACTGCAGCTGGATACGAACTTTTTACACGCCTAACACCTGATAAATCTCCTGAATCAGAAAACCCGGACAGATGTGACCTCTGTGCATCACCTTATTTTCCCAAGATCCCTCTGCTCCTTGTTTACAGCCTCGCTCGGCTCTCCTCAGGACTCCCAGGAGACTCGTGTTGCAACAGACCGCAGCGCTGCATGTAAACACCGGCCCGGCTTAACTCCTGTTTACCCCACAACTCTTTTAGGTCATCTCTGCCCCCCCCCCGCCCTCCCTCCCTCCGTCGGACGCTTAAGCTGATATCAACACTGATAGCATGCTGGATGACGGCTCTGCGTGAAGGAGGGGGATTCGGTGACATGAGGTCATTCTGGTACTTAAAGCCGAACAAGTTGGTCATAAACTGAAGTGATGTGGAGGAGAAGGAGCAGCAGCAGGCGGGCGGGCGGGCGGCTTTCAGCGAAACACAAAAATCAATAGTAAACAGAACAGCTGTGGACTGCAAACTTTGTGTGCGTGTCTGTGGGTTTGTTTCTGAACGACACATGAGAGATCAACAACAACTCTGAGCGACTCGGCACTTTTTCTCTGAGATCTGCAGCTTCAGCTGTTGTTATGAGTCTTACATGTATTGATTGTATAACGCAAAATAGACAAGAGTCTCCTTTGTCCGGTTTTTGGGGTCATGATGCTCCAAATGTTTTTAACTGGACCGCATCAGTCCAGTTCTTCAGCAGGACTCTTCTCCTTCAGAGCCACGCTGTTGTCAGAATGTGGTTTGGGATCATATGAAGGTCTTTCCTGAAAAAGTCCTTGTCTGGACGGACGCAGATGTTGCTCCTAAACCTGGAGATGTTGTTTAAAACTGAGGGTGCAGCATCTATGATTTCCAGTTCTTCGTTGAAAGGACGACTGGACTTACTTACATTGACACGTTAACTTGGATGGTTACGATCAGCTACGATCGTAACCATCCAAGTTAACGTGTCAATTTCCACCGACTTCTTTTCCTATCGTCAGACTCCACAGCTGATCGCAAGAGTTTTATTTTTTCCAGATGCCGGAGCATGGCGGATAAATTCAGCACAGATTAACCCGTGCTGGAAAGGAAGTCGGACACAGACACAAAATAAAACATCCAGCTTCTTTTCAAAATAAAACACTTAGTAGACGTCATTTCACCCTGATGACACCATGAATGAGGAGTTGATGCTGATTCTAGAAGTCTAGAAGTAGATTTCCTCCTCTGGAAGGACACAATCTACTGCTGATGTGGTTAGCTTCTGTGGCTAAAGACAGCTTGTTATTGCGTGATTGCATGTGAATCTGCAGGTTCTTGTGAGTTCTCGCGATTCCTGCTGTCTGTAATCCGCCACGGAATTCGCATCACAGACAGATCTGGTAGGAATTGGTGGACGGCGAAAATCCCACCTGATCCGGATCTGAGGCGTTCCGGATGTGGTGAAAATTTCGGGTTAGATTTTGATTCATCAGACCTTTCCTTGGCTCGGTCAATAAACAAACTCGCCGCTGTGTCACTCACTGGTGTACCGCACCTGCAGGACGGGTTTCCGAAGTACTTATTGATTCAGTGAACGAATCTTTTGAACGAATCTTTTTAATGAACAGATTGTAAAGATTCAGTAGAGTCAAAAGAACAGTTCCTCCCATCACTATGCAGCATCTATGATTTCAAGCTCTACATTGAAAGGACAACTGGACTTACTTACATTGACACGGTAACTTGAATGGTTACGATCGTAACCGTCCAAGTTAACGTGTCAATTTCCACCGACTTCTTTTCCTATCGTCAGACTCCACAGTTGATCGCAAGAGTTTTATTTTTTCCAGATGCCGGAGCATGGCGGATAAATTCAGCACAGATTAACCCGTGCTGGAAAGGAAGTCGGGCACAGACACAAAAAAAACCATCCTGCTTCTTTTCAAAATAAAACACTTTGTAGACGCCATTTCACCCCGATGACACCATGAATGAGGAAATGCTGATTCTAGAAGTCTAGAAGTAGATTTCCTCCTCTGGAAGGACACAATCTACTGCTTATATGTCTATGTGGCTAAAGACAACTTGTTATTGCGTGATTGCACGTGAATCTGCAGGTTCTTGTGAGTTCTCGCAATTCCTGCTGTCTGGAATCCACCACGGAATTCGCATCACAGACGTTTCCGGTAGGAACTGGCAGACGGCGAAAATCCCACCTGATCCGGATCAGAGGCGTTCCGGATGTGGTGAAAATTGGGGGTTAGATTTAGATTCATTAGACCTTTCCTTGGCTCGGTCAATAAACGAACTCGCCGCTGTGTCACTCACTGGTGTACCGCACCGGCAGGACGGGATTCCGAAGTACTTATTGATTCAGTGAACAAATCTTTTGAACGAATCTTTTTAATGAACAGATTGTAAAGATTCAGTAGAGTCAAAAGAACTGATCCTCCCTTCACTATGCAGCATCTATGATTTCAAGCTCTACATTGAAAGGACAACTGGACTTACTTGAGATGGCGAAACGTCCCAAGTGAGTCTAGATGCCCTTTCCGAAAGAGTGTTAGATTTTGATTCATCAGACCTTCCCGGACAAGAACCGGCTACAGAGTCCTGAAGCTCCTAAACCTGGAGACACTGTCCAGCATTAATGGATCCTTCACAGATGAGGAAGATACTCATGACATTGACTCTGATCGTACCACGAGAGAACTCAAACATACAAACTCCACACAGACAGATCGACCAATCAGATTAGCTCCCTCGCGGTTAAAGATCAAGGTTACTTTCCTCCTGATCCGTCTAGTTTGCGAGTTTCTAACCGTGTCAGATGTGACCGCACACGTATGAAGACACTCCAACACGCTGCATTAACCGCCGCACATGTGCATATGTGCATACACCCACAGATGATCACACACATAAACACACGGGCCGCGTTTCAAAATCCAATTAAGTCGCGGCTGTGGGATCTCAGCTCCACATGCCAAATAGCTTTGAGTGTCTGCACGTCATCCGCAGTGTGAGACAGCTGACAACAAGATTATGGCCACGAGCGCCGCATTTGTGGTCCGGCCCGATGATGGCGTATTATTAGCGCGGCGGAAGAGAGCAAATTTGTCCTCCACCGTGTGACGGCTCGTGTCATTTGATCCCAGAGAGGGACATTGTTCAAAAAAGGACGTTTTTATATATATAGATATACTGCTGCTGCTGCTGTGTGAGTGATTGTGTGTTTGTGCATGAATGACAATGTCAGTGTGTGTTTGTGTGTGTGTGTTTGCAGGTTTAAGCAGAATAATAAAGATCCTGGCGCTTCTTCTTCTTTTGCTGCAGAGAATTAGAGTCAGAGCGGCAAAAATAAAACGAATTTAAGCAACAGTGTGTAAACAGAGGTATTCTAAGTTAAGTCATTTTAATCAGTTTTAGGTATTTCAAGTGTTTTTTTGTTGTTTTAGTTGTAAGCAGCTTTGATTTTTTTAGTTTTACTTCATTTAAAAAGAGTCTAATGATTGTTGTAAAAGTCCTAAACAAAGCTTCATCCTCTAGTGGCAAACTGTGGTACTGCGACACACCGCGTCATAAAAAGTCTGTAAAAGACAAACCATAAAGGTTAATTATTGCTGTTTTTAATTTGCACGTTGAATATTTTTATTATATTTAAATGTTTTATTGCTAAAAAGTTTGAGTTTTTATTTTCGAAGTTGTCATCGTTAAAGTCAAGGTTGACAATCTGAGAAGTAGTTCCACCCCCCACACACAAACCTCTCCCCTCTGTGCTCCACCATAACTCCCCCTGAATCTGTATCGTCTGTTTGATCTCTCCATCTATCTAGTTTAGTGTCTAGATTCAAACAGGTCAGCTGATTGCAGATACAGGCTCTGATTGGTCAACAGGCCCAAACAAAGACGGCCAAACAACACAAATGACGATTTCACTGAACAGCTGTGGCTCAAACGGAAGGTCAGGGTTCAATCCCAGGTGTCCTTGGCTGAGACACTTGACCCCACCCACCCTTGTTGGTGTGTGAATATGATTGGCTAACTCTGGCACCATTAGTGTGTGAATGGGTGAATTTTACAGAGATATGTGTCATATCTGAATGTAGCTGCTGAGGGATGTGATGTCGCGGAAACACACCGAGTTTTTCTCATCATGGATTAATTCTAAAAACCTGAATCTGCTGGTCCCACACAGACAAATTTAGACATGTGCATCTGCATTTTCTCCACAGCTTATTTTCCGCACTTTTGCTGCCGCTGCTGCTGTTTTTCCACTCCTTCGTTTTGGAGAGTCTTCTTTAATGAGCCGCAGCCGCCAAACAAAACCACTCTTCCTTCTTTTGTTAATTTTACAGTGTGCGGCGTAAAAACAACAAAACAACGTCTTTCCCATCACGAGCTGTTGCTTCAAATTTCCGAGAGGTCAAAGGCCGCGACTCTTGTTTTCCCCGGCGCATTGTTAACACTCATTCGCTCCGAACATAACAAGCATGCTTGACTGACAAACATGTATGGAGGACAGATTAATTGTTCATGAAACCCTGCCAGAGTTTGACGTGTTTTCCTCTCTCAGCGCTCCAAATATTTGGCCAAACCTCCCCCTTCAAACCTCCACACCAAAGCCGAGTAAATAACATGTCATTTTCATGCCTTTTGATCATCCAGCTATTCTGAGTCAACCTCCCGAGGTTTAGGTGCAGGGGCGATGCTCGGCTGTAATAATAAGTCGACTTTCTCTCTTTCACTTTTTAGGAGTGAGGGTTTGAAAAAGAATAATAAAACAACTGTCAGCTAATTGGCAATAGGACCGTACTATGGAGGAATGAAAAAACTACAAAGCGACACCACCAGGGAAAAGTAGAAAGGCGCGCACACGCACACACACACACACACACACACACACACATACACACACATAGTGGGTTTAAGGGCATTCTCCTGTCGCAGAGAAATCCCTCCTCCTCCTCCTCTTTCTCTTTCACACCAGCAGATACAGTTCATCTTAATGCCGCGGTAAGTCGCCGTCTGAAGCGGTTAACTCGGAGCAACGGCGCTCCAGAGCTGACGGCTTCAACCCAGACCTGACTCCGGCGGCAGACACGAGTAATTTTTCTGCTTCTTTGTTTAAAAAACCGCCGAAAGAAACGAGAGAGAGCAGCTTTCACTTCCAACGACATGCTCGCAAATTCAGAGGAAGGCGCCGTCAGTCCGAATCTTCGTGTTTAAGAGCGGAATAAATTCAGAGCAGCATCTGTGGACGTTTGTGAATCCCAGTATTTCTGGATGTGATTCAGCGTCCATGCAGCTGAAGTGAATCTGTTCACATTAAAAACTTAAAAACAACCTCAAAGACAATAATGAAGAACTCTCACGTCACCGTCAATCACAGGTGGTGATACCAAAGGAGTCCATGGAAACTGCAGGTTTTAACAAGTTTTAAGACTTTTTAAGACCATCATGCAGACAATTAAAGATCCATTTGACATCCATGAAGGGAGATCGGAACATTTTAAACTAACTTCTAATCAATCTTTTTATGCAAGTAACTTCAATTCATTTTGAAGACCTTTTTAAATTTGTATTTAACCCTTAAAGTTCCTGTTCATTTGAAGCTCCATCAGCCGACTTTGTCCCCAAAACAGACATGAGATAAGTGTTCATAAAATAATCATTTTTTAACATTTTTTCTTACTTTTTTTTCATCAAATCTCTTAAACAACTTCATTACTTTTTTAATGGTCAGGACTGAATAAAAAATTAGATGTATTAACCTTTTCATGCCAGTTTTTGTGCAACATATCATATTTATTGATAAAGTGTTCGTTCTAAACAGCTGAGTCCTTTTCTCGATCCTCGTCCTCGACCAAATCAAATGTGATCGAATTCATTTGTTCATAATAAATTAATTTTATATATAAACATATAAAATCAGAAGATATATGTAAGATATGAATCATTTATAAGTGTTTATCCTCCTCTAACCAAAATATGACCGTGATTACGTCGATATAAAAAATAACAGCATATTTGAGACGTGATATCTTCTCATCTAATGATCTGAAGGACCTGTTCATCCTCATGCATGTCCATCCACTTACTCTGAAGTGAGGACAAAGTAGAAATTGTCCAAATGTCCCCCTCTCTTTGTCCCACACTGCAGAACTTGGACGTCAGATTTTCGACTGTAAAAACTCTTGTCATGCTCGGTTCTAAACATGGACGCAGATTCTCACCCGTGCACACACGCAGGAGCACACAGACTCTTCCTTCCACACATATCCCACTCTTAGACATCCATATCTAGTGTCATGTAAAGTTTCCTTCATTTCTGATGATGTTTAGTGGATGAATCTTCAAACTCTCTCAGTCCATGAATGAAGACTTGCGTGCTCAGCGGCACTGAAGGGGTTAAAATGATGTATCACTGTGGGAAAGTCAAATTTAGAGCCCTGGTGATCGACTGACTGCAAAAAAAAGAAGGTTGTAATATGTTGTTATGGCGCCGTAAACACACGGTTAAAAAAACTGTTTTTAATGGAAGTTTATTGGCCGGTTTGTGGACAAAGGAGGGTGGGTGGAGCTAAAATGTGGCGACAGAGAACTACAGGTGACATCGAGTTCTTTTTTCGTTCTTTAAATATGAAGAAAAATTAGAACTTTCACCAAATTTGATGCTCCAATCTTTAAAAATGTGACTGTCAGCTTTTTACCGTCAGACGTTTAAGGCCTTAAATTGCTGTCAGACCGAAACCAATCAAATACAAACTTACTGAGTGAAAGAAGTGCAGAGTTTTATTTTAATTATGTCAACAGGGGGCGCCAAAAACGGCACAAACTAAAGGTCCTTACACACCGGCGAATTTGCGGAGCGAGGCGAAAAAGCGAGACGAAAATGCGAAAATATTCGCCGGTTCAAAAAAATCGCTTTTGCCTATACACACCGGGTGCGAAGCGAATATGCATATCAATTTTGCAAAGTGAAGTTCTACCCCCTGAAATTTCGCCAGTATTTTAGAATGTCCCTCTGGCAATTTAAGGACCTCCTCCAGCAACTGACCCCACGGCTGGAGAAGCAGACAACTAACTACAGAGAGCCAATTGGTCCAGAGGAGCGGCTCGCCACATGTCTGAGGTGAGATTAAAATAATAGGCAATATTCTATATGAATGAGACAAAGTCCCATTTTCTTGAAAGCTCCGGCCCCCAGCCCCGTTATAATGTATATAAGCACATAATAGCTCATCTATAGCTCACTCGTCTCCAAGAGGAGCTGGATGGGTTTGCCATAGCGTGCTTGATAAATGAATATCATCAACAACATGACTTTTGATTGGCCAGAGGTCTAACAGGTCCAGATATTTGCCTGCGAATATCCGAAAAATCCAACACAAGAGCGAAAAAATAAATCGCCGCCGGTGTGGAACTTGCATTGACTTTTATGCTGTTTTTGAAAAAGGCGAATAAAGGCGAATAATTCGCCTGGCGAATTCGCGCCTGGTGTGTAAGGACCTTAAGAGTTCCTTACAGGGCCTTTAAAGTCCTGCATGTTCAGGCCTGTGGTTTTATGTTCCGCCCCTCAGAGTCGACATTAGAGGACCTGATGTGTGTCCAGTACTCGCATGCTCGGCTCCTAGATGTCTCATGTTTTTGCAAATTAGTCTTAAAGGATAACTTCTCGTGTGTATATGTTATGTATCAGCACATCAAAATGGAAACTCCAGTATCTGGATGTTTGACATTATGTATAAATACGCTCATGATGAGATTTGGCTTCTTCCAAATAAAGGAGAGGATTACACATTCCTGCACAGTTTGATCAAATCTGATAGAAAATGTTTAGATTATCATAAATGCATCGTGTTTTTCATCTTAGACGAGGCGTGTTCAACAAAAGTTCATGAAGGAGTCACATATGGAGCTGCAGGATTTTCACTCTCACAGTCCCAGTCAGACAACGAAACTTGGAAGCCTGAATTCTCGCACAGTCGTCAAGAAACTTGCATGAAATCATCTAAACTGAAAGACCGTGCGTTTTCACTTTCCTGTTTCCCACGTGCATGTGCTCGCTCTTGCATGCACGCGAGTTCATAAACCCTAAAATGAAAGGTATGAGATAGCCGGGTGGAAGCCTGCCAGTGTGTGAGATAGAAGTGGACGCTCCACTGCCTCTCCGAGAGACAAGGGAGCCGGCGTCTCGTCTGTATTCACCCAGACAGCGCTACGAGGCCTCTCCGGAATTCGCCGTCCCCGCTGTTGACTCCAAACACAGGAGCGTGCTGGTGGATCAGGCGGTACGTCGGAGACCGGTTCTCAGTCAGGGACCCTGAATGGCTTGTGAAAAACTGAATCGGGTCAAAAAACAGGTATTTCTGAGAGACAGCAGAGGGTCGATGAGAGTCTGTAAGAATCGAGAGTGCAGAGAAAACGCTGAGAGACAGGAGGAGGCAGAGCCAGGGACAGAAATAGACGGAGGGATAAGGGGAAAGAGGAGGCGACAGACTTTTCCCGACTTTCCCGGAAGCCATCTGTCTTTGTTTGAGGAGTATGACTGCTGTCAGGTTGCTGCGATAGAGACGTAAACAAACAGGAGGATCACAGCTCCTTATCTCTGCTCATTTCTCCTCCCTAACAAGACAAACACCAGCGAGCCCGGCGTGTTTACCGTGTGCACATGTGCTCGGAGAGGGGCTTCCTCGCTGTTTTTGTTGGTGTTACTGTGTCGTTCTGCAAAGTTCGACCGCTAAGACGAGCTTACTTTAAGAAGACTGAGAAAGAAAGAGAAGCTCAAAAACAAACATTTTTCCAGGACGGGTTCAGTTTCTTTTCCTGAGCGGTAACTTTGCATTTAATAAGGAGACAGTTTTACTTTTTCAGATGTGTTTTAAGGAGGAAAAAGTTTTTATATTCCATCTCATAAACGTTTCGTGTTTCACTGTGACTGAGATGAGCTGTCGGCATCTTCACACCCTGTTGCGCAGAGCTGAGCTGTGCACTCTCTTCCTGACGGCGCTGAATCATTTCCACATGTGTGATGAGCTGAATGAGGAGAGGAAGTCTTTAAAATCATACTCCAATCGTTTTTTTTTACCACTTTAAGTGTTCTCAGTGGTCTTTAAATTGTGATTAGGAAGTTTTTTGCCAAAATCATGTTACCTGTGTCATTTTAAAGGGACCCCAAACAGGCGGAGACGAACAAGTGAAAGGTTTTCAGACGTCATTTCACCCCGATGACACCATGGATGAGGAGATGCTGATTCTAGAAGTCTAGAAGTAGATTTCCTCCTCTGGAAGGACACAATCTACTGCTTATATGGTTAGCCTCTGTGGGTAAAGACAACTTGTTATCGCACGATTGCACGTGAATCCGCAGGTTCTTGCGAATTCTCGCGATTCCTGCTGTCTGTAATCCGCCACAAAATTCGCCTCACCAACAGATCTGGTAGGAATTGGCAGACAGCGAAAATCACCGCCGTTCCGGATCAAGGGAAATCCCGGGCAAGAGTCTGGCATGCAGAGTGGAGCACTGTGGGCGGGGCTTGGATTTGTGACATAGGAAATCTCACTGGATCTGAACCTGCCGTTTGGTTCCGCCGGAGATTTCAGAAATACTTAGAAACACAATTTTTCACTTATTTTTCTCATGATCTGTCCTGTAGCATCAGAAAAATGTCATATGATCATGTAGAAAACAAGAAAAACTTGATTTTCATCGGAGTGGGTCTTTAAAAGTTTATGGACTTGATTCATGAAAAACGTGACAGAAATTTCACATTTTTAAGAGTCTATGTTCTGAAACAAGCAAAAAATCTCTTGACCCCTGGTATCTTGTTTTGGCAGCATAAGAAGCGCAACACAGTCTAACAAACAAGCTGTACATGAGACTTGATGATGGCGTCTCCGTTCTCACTCACATCCACAGAGTTGGATACCGATTTGTAATCATGGCCACAGTTCCTGTCAGTCATGTTGTTGCAGAACGTGTAAATAACTGCAGGATGTAGAATTCACAAATAACAGACCTCGATGGTGGACGATCACGTTTTAGTGTTCCACGATTACACAAACTACAAATGAGGGTAATTTACACTAAAAATGTACGAGTAACGAGATTTTGAATCCAGATTTGTTATCCATGTGCACAGTTTGGGTCAAGATGACGATGCAGGATGCGAGCACAGGTGAGTTTCTTCGTCTTTAACTTTTAGCCACAAACACGATCACGCCGTTTTATCTTTGCCAGATTTTATCCTCGCCAATTAAGTCCCTCTTCGCTAATGACACAGCAGATTTTCACAGATGTGCGACACGTGAAGCAGCGTCTCCAACCTTTTTGAAGAACAAAGACGCAGGTGCGCAGCAGCTGGACGTTTTTATCGACTAATGAGATAACGACGAAGAGAGAGAGACGAGGTCCTCACACCGACTCGAGACAAGTGCACCGGTATCAGACTCCATATTAGTCGGACAAACTGCTTCCCATCATGCTTTGTAATGAGTGTATGGATGAATGTATGTATGTAGCGACGCTCAGGTTTGTGTGTCTGTGCAAAAGTCAGAAATAATGAGGCCTCGCTCAGCCTCAGGTCTGCTCTCTCTCTCTCTCTCTCTCTCTCTCTCTCTCTCTGTTTCTCTGAGAGCAACAAGCCAACATCTGCAATTCAAATGAGCGTTTTACTGATTAGTTAACGCCGAGCCAAGAGGTCTGAATACAGTCGAGTAATGACTGAAACGCAATTTCCATTCAATCAATGTTTATATTTATAATGAGCGATATGGAAGTCTGCCGCCAAGCAGAGGACAGATGGAACTTAGCAAATACTCTCCTCACTCACACACACACACACACACACACACACACACTCACCGTTTTGCTCTGAATGTGGGATAATTGGCGAGATATGGGGGGAAAAATGTATTTTGCTGCTGAGCCTAATTAGGGAGAGAACATTTCCAACGCTGCCAAACAACAGCAGACAGACCAAAGGTGCCCTATAAAGCATCTCTGGCTTCATTATAATGTGACGACGTCGGGTTCATCTGTTGCCGCGGAAGCAGAACGAGCGACGGTGACAACCCTGACAGCCGAAGATCAAGAACGCTAATGTAGAAGAAGTTCTTTAACAGATGAGAACTTGTAAACACGCAGACGCAGGAACACGGAGGGGAGATCAATACGCCGACGCCGGCTTCGATCTGAAGGGGGCGGTCTGGAGGAGTTTTGATGAAGCACCCGGGGTCAAAGGTCGCTGCCGGCATTGATCGCCAACAGCTGAAGATCACCGGAGAGCCCGTCCTGCTGGAATCGATGATACATATTCAAAGTGATGATATATGGAGGACATTCATCTGAGCGGAGGAACCGCCCACTCTGCGCGGGATGACTCGGCGTGATGGGTGCGGGTCGGAAGCAGGTGATCCGTCTGTGTTAGAGACGGTGCGTGAAGAGATCACATGACCAAAGAAACACAGAGAGAGGATGAAGACGATCTCACCAGCAGAAGTTTTTACCTCATTGTAAAATTTTCAAAAACTTTTACTGTGAAAATCTCAACAAACTTTAGAGGAAACAATTCAGGGACTTCAACTTGAATAATGCGGCGCCGCTCATACAGAGTTACCCGGGATTTCCACCGCATCTGGAGGAGCCCTAGCATCGCAGCGCCTCTGCCAAGGCTGCACAAACATCAATATTTCAGGATTTTGATCAAGAAAGACGAGTTTTCAGGATGCAGATCTGTGACCTGTTTTATTCAAGAGAAACTTTATTCAGTCTTTACCTCAGAAAAATAATCAATATGCATCGACGTCGACATGGAAAACTTTTATTTTCTTACAAACTTCATCCAGATGTTTTCAAAGTTATGAGAGTCGATGTAACTTTGGAAAATTACCGTAAAACCTGGAGTATAAGTGAGGATTTAACGCAAAATCCTTCAAACAGCAGAAGAAATTAAGACCTTAACCCGGGATTTCCACCGCATCCAGAACAGCTGCGATTTTCGCTGTACGCTAATTCCTACCGGATCCGTTTGTGAGGCGAATTTCATGGCGGATTACGGACAGCGAGAATCACAAGAACTCAGAAGAACCCGAGTAGATTTCCTCCTCTGGAAGGACACGATCTACTGCTGATATGGTTAGCCTCTGTGGCTAAAGACAACTTGTTATCGCGTGATTGCACGTGAATCCGCGGGATCTTGTGAGTTTTGCGATTCCTGCTGTCCGTAATCTGCCACGAAATTCACCTCATCAAAATTCCAGTAGGAATTGGTGCACGGTGAAAATCGCAGCTGTTCTGGATGCGGTGGAAATCCCGGGTAAAGGTCTTAAAGTCTTCTTGCTGTTTGAAGGATTTTGCGTTAAAGCCTCACTTAGCTAATTTTCCAAAGTTACATCGACTCTCATAACTTTGAAACCATCTGGATGAAGTTTGAAAGAAAATAAAAGTTTTCCATGTCGACGTCGATGCTTATTGATTATTCACAGGCTTCACCTTAGAAAAATAAAGTTTCTCTTGAATAAAACAGGTCACATGTTACTGCTGTAGCACAGATCTGAATCCTGAAAACTCGTTTTTCTTTATCAAAATCCTGAAATATTGATGTTTGTGCAGCCTTGGCAGAGGCGCTGCGATGCTGCGGCTTCCTCTCCTTTTTTTTTCTGGATCTGTTTACAAGCGGCTCGTCAAATATTTGATTCCTCTACATCTAACATTTACAGTATTTAACAGGATGAGCCCCATTGAGAGCGGGCGGGCGGGCGGGCTTACGAGGCCTGTCCTTGAAATCAGCGGCGGATGTTCTGACAGAGACGAGGAGCGTCGACACATTTGGTAATGAGGAAAGACAATTAAAGCGACAGAGAGAGAGAAAAGAGAGAGAAAAGAGAGGGAGGGTGGAGAAATGAGAGCAGAACAACATGCATTATTCACTTTTCCACGAGCCTGCACAGAACAAACATGCAGCGCTGGCTGCAGGTGCAGGCCGCCTCTGATTGAATGTTTTTTATAGCAGCGTGTTGTATAAGAGTGAGCAATGATAGAAGTGCATTAGAGAGACGGATCCGTCCTGGAAATGAAGATTAATTAGACAAAGAGATGCTGCAGGAGACCAACACGCTCTTGATGGAGTAGCTGGTGGCGTTTTCCTCCTCAGCCTGTTTAAAATTCATCGCCAAACGGCGCTGCTTTTGGCCTATAATTACAACATCAGTCATTATTGATCATTGTCACTTTAATAAACAGCTCTCAACGTTTTGAAGAATCCGCCGACGATAAAAACCACCGGGCGACTCTGGGGGACGCTCGGCGAACAAACAGGCCCAAACCAGAAATCAGGGGCTTCACGGGGGGCTTCGGCATCAACATTCAAACGGCGAAGAAAGAAGAAGCAAAACGCCGCCTCGGCCTCAAGGATACGCAGCTTTTGTTTGCATTGTTTTGTGGATGCGTTTGTGAAATCGCTGTGGGGGAAATGTCAGTGTCATCCCTTTACGTACCAAGGCGAAACAGAAACACAAGAGGAGAGGAATTCCTGCCTGAAAACAGTGTGTGAGAGAGAAAGAGAGGGAGAGAGAGAGAAAAGGAGAGGGGGAGAGAGAGAGAGAGAGAGAGAGAGAGGATTTCTGTGCTTCTGTTTCACTGACGATCAGTAATCAGTACAGGAATCAATAACAAGAGCGCGTCTGAGGTGGTGAAAGACCTCTAATCCAACTATGACTGCAGGAAACTACACAACATCGCCAAACACACAAGATTTTAGGGTAAACTTAAATCGGCTTCATGCAGAAAAACTAAAAACTGTTTCCTGTATCCTGACCCGTTTACTCTGACCTCTGTTTCTGCAAATATAAGAGCTGCAGGATCGAACTTTGACGCCGGCACACGTCTGCAGGATCGAATCAAAGCCGCAACAACAACTTACTTTACATCTTCATCTACATCTACATCTTCAAGCGTTAGGAGCTGCTGAGTTGTGGGTTTTATAGTTTTTTACCCTCATACAGCATTAAAAAAAACTTCCTTTAGTGTTTTTTAACTTTTAACTGCTTTAAAATATATCAGGTTGATATTTCTTTCTACTTTTTTTTGTATTAATCTGTTGAGAAACTTCAGTCTTGATCAAAACTATTAAATATTAAAGAAACAAAACAAAACAGGATTTTAACCCTTTAAGTGCCAGTGGATAAAGCCACTGATTTTAGGAGGAGAAAAACACAAAATTACCTATTTTCAATAAAAGGATTTTTTTAACCCGCTAGCACAGTCTTGGATATGTCAAAGATTAGTAACACAATTGGTTTTTAATCATATTCAGTTTTCGTGCAGAAACAGATTTTCTAAAAAACTTCCTTTTATGATGTTAGTGGCTGTTTTTGCCCCATTGACTCCCATTATAACCACACGTTTTTATGTCATATGTAAATTTGACGACAGTGTACTATTGACCTTCTGAAAACTCTGAAATCATATTTTTAAATCATATGCAATAATAAGGTTTGTCGGCAAAAATCATGTCATTTGCTGCAATACAGCAAAAATGTTGTGGTCAAATTTAGAGGATAAAGTGACTCTCCGTGGACGTTTTTATCACCGGTACTGTAAAGCACTTTGTACGGCACTTTAGTCAGAGTTTTGTTGTATTAAATGTGCTTTATAAATAAATCTGGATTGGATTGGATAAGGGTTAAAACAGACAGAGAAGGACCGGTCCTGTCCTCTGGACTCAAACTGGCGGTTTAACTTTTCTTTTCTACTTTCGCACCGTCAATAGATTAATTGTGATACTCATTGTGACACATATCATACAGTATCTCATATCTCTATCAGTGTTTGAACAGTCAAAGATGGAGGACTAATGGGGAAAATGAATCAGGTAATGAGTCACCTGTGTGTCGTGTGTCTGCAGGAGCTCGTTAGGCTAACAGGCCACACCTGTGTACTCAGGTATAAAGTCCAGCCTGCAGAGGACTCTGTAACTCACTAACTCATTAACTTCAGTGACCACAGCCAGAACTCAAAGTTTATTTTTATTCAGTTTATGTTAGTTATCTAGTACTTCTTTTCTTTTATGACCATTTATGCTGCCGTCTTTGTCTGATACAGACTCTTATAGTTTCAGTTTAGCACAGGTACATGCTCTAATATGGTCTTGGATGGTTCAACTTCATGATTGAATTTCCTCAATATATTTCCAAATCCACAATCTTAACTTACTTAAAGCATTTTGCCTCCAAGTTCCAACCAAACGTATATTTTTAGCTTTTAAATTCAGTGTTCAGAGCCCTACTTTGCAGATTATCATCATTATCCTCCATAACAAATCTAGAAAACATCATTGGAGCTCAGGCTTGTGTGATCCCTCATCCACAAACCCACAGAGGCCGCTCCGTGTGCGCAAACACACGTTGTTTACAAGAGGTTCGTCTTTTCAGAGTGAGATGGTGCTCCAGGTGAAAAGCCTCACAGGGAGTGTGTGTGAGTGTTTGTGTCGCCAATACCTCAGAGGGGAGTGTGTTTGTGGGATTGTGAGTTTTAACATAGTTGAATTTCCTTTTTTTGACCCTTTATAGCAGGATAGATCATCTTTCTTTGCCGTGAAAGTCAAGATGATTCAACTGAACTTTAAATTTTAAGTGCTGAAACTTTTGGGTGAAAAAATCCAAAATATAAAAATCCAAATATAAAAGTGAAAATTTCATGAATTAGTTTCCTACTTTGATGGTAATCAGTTGTTAATTGTGCTGCTTTTTAAGTTTTTGCATATCCAGATCTTGCTAACCGATGTTCCCTTAATGTTGGGAATGAATCACATTCACATGAAAACCTTTAGGCTCCATGTTTAGTGTTTTTACCTCATTCTAAAGTAGATTTTGGAGTACCTCAGGGATCGATACTGGGACCACTCTTACTCTCATTCTCTACATTAGGGGGGTTCTCTGCTTTAAGGGAGCCACATTGAAATTCAAGCTCTATAATAAAGTAACTCATGTCCAAAAATCTGCTTTTTTTATTGTCATGATATTTTAAGCCTCTGTTCAGAGTTTTTGATTAATAATAAAACTGATGAAAATTGTCATTAAAGTCTGGATATCGGCCATAAAAGCAAAGACGACTATGAATAACTGTTACTAAACATGACTTTAAGAACTACTGGAAAACCTTCAGAAACTTGGACCGAACACCAACCTGGACTTAGGTCTGGGCGATAAAATGATAACATATCAATATCAATATAACATACAGTCAATATCCTTTCCGATAGTCGGCATTCTGCTATATTTTGGTAGACAATACGAATAGCCAATGAAAAGGGGAGTTGCTCCGGGTCCGCTTTGCAATGAACCAATCATGTTCTGAATTAGAGCCAAGGAGCAAACAATGGCGTCATAGCAGACAGCAGCTACACCCAACCATAGCACTTTAACGTCGGTGGTGTGGAGGTATTTTGGTTTTTTGAAGTCGGACATGAAGCAGAGTAATGTGGACTACAAATTATGTCGAGTACATGTTCTCGCAAAGTCGGGGAATACCTCAAATCTTTTTCACCACCTGAAACAGCGCCACATGGCAGCCCATGGCGCCTGTGCAGCCGAAACAACCGACCATTCAGTCGGCTTTGTCTAGAGCAACGCCTTACGACAAAACGTCAAAGAGACACAAAGACCTCACAGATGCAGGAGATTATTGTTTTGGAAAAGACATGCGACCAATAAACACTGTTAAATTAGGTTTTTTATATCATGATATTCATATATCTTGATATTGACTGATATGAAAATAATATATCGTAATAAACTTTTTCCCATATTGCTCAGCCCTACCTGCACTTTAACACTTTTTCCAAAACTCCACATTCAGTTTGAAGCGACCTCTCCTGGATCAGTTCAGACCCCTCCTGCAGTCTTTGTGCAGAAATCACCTGCAGGGCCTCGGGTGGCACTTTGTCATGCTCAGTTTGAGGAGATAAGACCGAGCTCAGGGGAAGTCGTATGGATCTGTATGTATAGGGCTCTGGCATGCTGCCAGTGTGGTAAAGAAAAGGAGGTTATTTGTGCTAAATCCTGCGTGTGAACAGATTCAGATCTTATAGTTTGGGTTTAAAAGATTAGCTCTGCTGCTGTTTCCGTAGTTTTATCCTTTCCTCTCTTCTTCTTCTGTGTTTTTGTCTCTCAGATGACACACTTTAGGGCCTGTATGGAGAGAAAAAAACTGTGTCATGTGAATGTTTTGACATTTTCGTCACCGCTCACACAGACAGACTTCTCTCTGAACAAACACCTCGTGACAACAGGTGAGTTTCGTTGCGATGTGTTTTGACACGTGACAGCGTCTCAGATCTGCAGAGGAACATCTGCAGGTGACTTCAAGTTTGTGGCTCTTGTGATTTACGAGCCGAGAGCGACGAGAGGAAGTGCTCCAGCTTATAGATCTTCAAAATCATACATTTCACGTTTTATAGGTTCACGGCCTCCCAGGGTTTCACACAGTCTAGAAAATAACTCACTCCGGTTTGGTGATAAGAGAAAGAAACGGTGTGAGACGCAGCAGCTTTATGATGAGCCAGACGCTCTGCGGAAAATGACATCCAAAGATGATGGAGGGAAGCTGTTCTGTCCGAGCGATGATTGTTTCTGGCCAGACGCCACCAACTAGCAGGATTTCATAGAAAACTGGACAGGCGGTTAAATAAGGAAATAAAAGATTTGTAGGATTAATTGGATTGGCAGGACTTCAGAGGTGCAGCTGTGGAGAGTTTTCCTTTTGCTTAAATCCGTTTGCAAAAGCGATCACCGGCTTCAAACAGAGAGTGTTCGCACTGGAGTTACGCTTTATAACGGCAAACTAATGAAAGTTTTTCACTGGGAAAGTTTACACAAGTGCAACCTGGCATCTACTCGAACACTGGCTTCAACTGAACAATCAACAAAGAGGAATCCTGCAAGATTTCCTCATTAATTTAAACTCTAATTCATGTTACTGGAGGGATTGGAGTAAGATGTGCATGCAGTTTGAGATGTTATTTTGAACAACAGAAACTCACTCGACAGTCAACATACACAACTATACTGAAGGTAGTAGCACGTTCACCAGCTAGCAGCCTGTAAGCTGAGCTAACACTCTGTCCTAGCTAAAATACAGTCCTCAAAATGGAGGACTGATGCAGGTTCAGGGTCTCACAGGGATTCCTACAGGACTTAATGGACCTCCTCACAACATGGTCTGTGTTATATTACAGAGGCCAGGATACAATATGCATCACGATACAATGTACTTATTATGATACGCTAAATTTATCACAATATAATATACTTATAGCTAAAAACTACTACACACTTATCATGATGTAATATACTTATCATGATACAATATACTTATCACGATATGGTATACTCATCACGATACAATATACTTATCATGATACAATGTACTTATCATGATACAGTATACTTATCATGATACGATATACTTATCACGATATATACATATCATGATATAATTATCACAATACCATTAACATATCACAATAGGATATACTTATCATGACATAATATA